TCTTTAGGCATATTCAATTTCTTATATCGTCTCATAGGCGCTGTTGCTGTTTCGAAAGTGTGTGTGGGACCATGTACAGTGCCTGCGCTGCATTGTTCACTCAAGACGGCAGAGGTAACCGGCGCCTCTACATGTGATGAGACCTGCCGCCACTGTGCGGACCTACACAAAGACTGATATATAAGAAGATGGCTGATATATTGCATAAAAAAATTTTGCAAGATGGGTCAACTGTTCATTATGTCATGAATGGAACTGTAGATTTTTAAAAATTATGTTGTAAATAAGTAGGATAAATGATGTTTTAATATATTGCTTTTAAATAAATTTAATTTTTTTTATTTTTTTAAACCTATTAATTCTTTGATTAGGTTATGTAATTACTTTAGGTTAGACTTGGTAGCAACCCAAGGTACAGTCTACATGAGGGCCATGTACCGTACTAAAAGATAAAAGGCTTTTTCTGAAGTTGGTCGGTAGTTAAGTTAAATTAACTTGGGAAGAACATACCAACAATGTAATATCTAAGTTGTCACGAGTTTGCTTTTTATTGCGAAAACTAAAAAACTGTGTATCAAATCACACACTTCTTTCTGTTTACCATAGTCTATTTCATACGCACTTATTATATGGAAATATTCTCTGGGGAAATAGCTGTGGGGCCAGCAGGGTGTTTACTTGGCAAAGGAAAGCCCTGAGGATCATGTTTGATATACCAAATAAAGTCAACTGCAAACCTTTCTTTATAAATAATAATATAATGACACTTTCAAGTATTTATATTTTTAATAATTTAGTCTTTGTTAAACAAAACATTACAAATTTTACTAAATGCCACTCAATACATAACCACTCAACTAGACAATCAAACAACCTGTACATCCCACCAGTAAGACTTTCAAAATTCACAAAAAGCCATAAATATTTACAATTACAACTTTTTAATAAACTTCCCATTCCATTTAGAGAAATTGATAACATAAACCTTTTCAAATCAACATTATCAAGATGGCTAATTAGCAAAGCCTTTTTTTCTATAGACGATTTTTTAAACACAAATAATTACTCTGAACTCTTAACACTATTGGCCACTAGGAGGCAGCCTGCATGACCAAAAATCTTTTTATAAATTTCCTGAATATTTACAAATTGTTTAGTTTTGAAGCATTATTTACTTAAGTTTTGTATAAATTTGTGTAAAGCATTCAATCTTAGAATTTTAAATTTAAATATTTAGGCCTGTATGTACAGTTTATGCAACAAAATGTTCAATGTTTCATAGGATGATGTATAGATTTAAGCATGATGTCACATTTGTGTCCTGACTTCTGACGTTGTCTATTGTAATTTTATGTTGCTGAATGACAATAAAGATTATTATTATTATTATTATTATTAAGTTTGTGGTATGATGGTATGCATACCAAAAATAAAAATACCTCCGCCGCAGCAAACCTGCCGACTAAGCGAATTTCCATTTGTCTGAATTGATTTTCAATTAAATCTATAAATAACATTAGGTTTAACAAGTACCTAGATTTGCAGCTACAAGCTACAAGGAAGCTAATTAAGTGTGTTTTTTAGTAAAATATTAATAGCTTGGTACATAATAAATAAATTTGCCAAGTTTTAATAAAAAATATATCCATAAAAAACAAACTACAACACTTTACAATATTCTCCATAAAAATAACATAGGAGTTTGAAATTTAAAATTTTTTGAATTTTCTCCGTTACCAATAACCGTACAAAAACACTTTGATATACTAAATTATTTGTTTTTTAAGGGTCTTTAAAAAGGTCTAGAGAGAAATTGGGAAATTTTGTGTTTTGAGGGTCCAAAATGAGAAAAACATTTTTTTACCCTATAAAACTCCGTTCCCATGGTCCATTTATGCTGGTTCGCGAACTTGTTAAAGTTTCATCAAAATCGGACAAAAATTACTCAAGTTATCGCGATCACAGACATATATATATATATATATACATATACTCTGGGGACAGTGGCGGATATACAATTTTTTTTTGAGGGGGCCGAGATTAATTTAAGGTTAGGTTAAGTTATTTTAAGTAGACACGACATGACTTTATCTCAGTTTTGGTGCGGTAATTTGTGCTAAATGTGACCTATACTTTACCAAAATCACGCTATACAATTAAATTGGCCCATTAAATTTTTAAAATGTATATATTCAAGCCAAATGAAGAAAAAACTAAATCAAAAACATTGATTAAGATTTAACAGTGTGTCATTCAATCTGTTAACACTTCTTATCCGAACCTAAGGAGTCAAATACGCGATTGTGATTATCATATTTGGAGGAGTTCTAACTAATGTATAAGTATTCTTTTGTGCTAACTGCAAAACGTTAACATTTCAGTACAACTTTGGACAGATTTAAATAACAAACAATAACAATGGTTACCACTGAGCTGACTGAACTCTTCATTACTCCCCTTCCCTATCGCCGGTAGATATGCTGGTCTCTAGCAGTCACTGTTGCTAGTGAAGATAGCCGGGCGGCAGGTGGGAGATTGATTCGGTCTGAAGCAACCCGAAGTCGCACAAACTATCACAGCAATCTGCCGCAGCGATGAATTCGTGCATGATTCATGATAAATAATTTATCATACATCAATAATATACATACACTTAATGTATATTAATACACTTACAGGGGGGATATGTGTTTTAATACCATATCCATTATTTTGGAGGGGGCCCAGGCCCCCCCCCCCCCCAATATACGCCCCTGTATGGGGACATCAAAATGAAAAGTAAATCGGTCCCGGGCCTAGGTCTTACCGTGCCATCTAAGGTAATAGCTACTTCCCTCTAGGAAAATTCGCTAAAATGTACTAAATTGGACATATGTAATTTTGGTCTAAGATCAGTATTTGGTATGTCAATTATAACTTTAATTAATTCAAACCATTGATTGTGAATTACTAGTCACCACCAATTTTACTAAAACCTACATTGTACACCAAACCAAGAGTTAGAAATTAGGGTTTTAAGGATTGAGAATTCAAGTTGAAGACATATTTTAGGTGCAAATGCTATTTCTCTTTTTTCAACTCTTAGGGATTTTTTGTTCAAAGTTGGCTAGAGCTGAAAATCGCCTCAATTAGCTGTGGTCATGAAATTCCGATATTTGAATAAACACAATCTTTATTTAGTGAGGGGCATTTACAGATACTTTGAATTTTCATTATCAGTTCAAAAACTATTTTATGTTAAAAAGAATGTTGTGCAGAGTATGTTGTAGATTTATTTATTAAGAGTTGTTAGTCATGAACAGGTATTCAAATCATTAATCATTTCATTGCGGTAAAATTGAGATATTCATTTACAAGTATTTTTGGTTAAAGTTTAAAAGTACATCACATAATTTTTCAATATTTTGAAATTGCAATTGTGCTATTTGCTATTCTGACTAGCACAACCAGCGAAAAATTGGCGCCTATAACCTCATTCAGTACTAACATTGACATTATATCTACACATACTAATAACAAACAAACACTGTAGAGTAATAAAGAGAAGTTATCTACTTCAGTTTTTACGCATTCTGTCAATGTTTCTTTACATAAATAGTAGTGTTATAGTTGATACAAGGAAAAAATTGAATTGATGATTTAAACCATCAGAGTAAAAAATGTAGTCGTAATCATCATAGAGCAACCATTCTTTGTACAGTGTTTGTTACTACTAATGAAGACTGTCGCCTGTCTACATGTGGGAGCCTGAGACGTGGTCGGCCGTATACACATTCTATGTATAGTGTTTTGTTACTACTAATGAAGACTGTCTCCAGTCCACATGTGGGAGCCTCAGACGTGGTCGGCCGTATACACATTCTTTGTATAGTGTTTTGTTACTACTAATGAAAACTGGTCGCCTGTCTACATGTGGGAGCCTGAGACGTTGTCGGCCGTATACACATTCTATGTATAGTGTTTTGTTACTACTAATGAAGACTGTCTCCAGTCCACATGTGGGAGCCTGAGACGTGGTCGGCCGTATACACATTCTATGTATAGTGTTTTGTTACTACTAATGAAGACTGTCTCCAGTCCACATGTGGGAGCCTCAGACGTGGTCAGCCGTATACACATTCTATGTATAGTGTTTTGTTACTACTAATGAAGACTGTCTCCAGTCCACATGTGGGAGCCTCAGACGTGGTCAGCCGTATACACATTCTTTGTATAGTGTTTTGTTACTACTAATGAAAACTGTCGTCTATCTACATGTGGGAGCCTGAGACAAGGTTGGCCGTATACACTTTCTTCCAATGTTGCCAACACATCATGATCCATATCATTTTGTTAATAGCAGCTGAAAACGCATATCCAACTAAGGCAACGTTTATATTAACGACAACATTTTATATACCATTAGTTGTATCACAAATTGAAGGATAATATGTTATCAGCATAAAAAATTTGTTTTGTTGAGATAAGTAAACTGAAAATTTACTAACACTCCTTCCTCGTTTAACTGTTAGACATTTATTTGCCCATAACATGTCATTCTAACCATGATACAATGATAACAGATAATAGAGTTGCATTAACACGAAATACCCTGAAGTGTTTATTAAAAACTTTGAATAGCCTACTCCAATTTTATCATGTTGTACAAAATCTCAACATCTTGAATATTTAGGTTTGTGCCTATCATGCTGTTAAAGAAAGGACTTATTAAGGGTAGACATATTTCAAATTCCATTAAAATGATCAAATTTAAGCTTGACCCAACCATGTATGGGGTTTTAATTCATTGCAGTTTATTGGCTAGATACTAATCTGGCTAAAATAAATGGCATCTTGTTTCCAGTAAACTAAACTACAGGAAGAAAATAATTTTATTTAAAAATATGGGTTGATAAACTTGTGGCTTCGCATACCTACTAAAAAATCTTACTGGGATATACCACATCATTGTTAGAAAGCTCCTTAAAAGAATAAATCCGGGGAAAGACAAAGTAAAGCAATTATTACAAAGTCTTTATTGTAAAAAACTTAAGTTAAGAATCAAGTTTAATCTGAGTCAAAACACAAACATCGAGATCACATTTTACATGGTTTCAATACATCATACAAATTTAACCTAGAGTCTATCCATCGATTCAACCATGACAATGGAATTCCCACGGATTACCTGAAAAAGAAATCTAAAATTAGGGAAAACTTAAAAAAATATGTGTCAAGGAGAGGACGTTGGAGTAATATGTGGACAACTCTCATTCGTAACATACTATCTAACTCTTCAACTCGTCGGTACAAATTACAAATTAAATACAATAACCCAGTAACCTTGTTATCAAAAGCAGGGTATACCTTGCATGAAATAGGGTAGTAGGTTTCTTTTTTTTTGTGTTGTATCAAGTGATAGTTCCGAGATGCTAAATCAAAATTTTCTACCTTAAAAATTCAAAGCATAAAAATCGGCAGAATTTTGTACTTTTTCATGAAAAAAACAACTATGGTAATTTTAAAAGTAGATTAAACTACCTATAACATAATACCAAAATGGTTATTATAGGCCTAGCAGTTTCCAAGATTTATGATTAAAATTACAGAATTTTTATGTTTCTTAAATTTTAGCCAATTTTTACCCTGAAGCATTTACTGCAAAATTCATAACAATTTTAAAAGTACGTTAATTACCTACAATTTTATACCAAAATGAGGTTTGTAAGCCTAACAGTTTGTGAGATTTGGCTCTTTGAAGTTTATCAAATCTTCCATCAATGCTTATTAGATGGCATGAAATTGTGGAGTTAAAGTTTAAAAAGCAATTCATTAGAGTGGGTCGAAAATATAACTAATTTTTTTTAGAAAATTCTTTTGAACAAAAAATGAAAAACTCATATTTTATCAGAGCTTAAACTTTAGATTTTTAATATGTAATAGTTAAAAATGTCATCTAAAATTGATATTTAAACTAGTAGTATTGTATGTTAATATCTTACGGTCGCGCAGGCTGCATATATTGCCAAAAATCAAGAAAAACGTCATTTTGTGCTAGTCTTATTTAAAATATAATAATCGAAATCAAAATGTAATACTGAAAATCTGTTTGTACACATAGTAACTTAACAAAAACAACAGACAAAGTCAGAATTGATCTTCCGGTTGCGCATAGCAATTAATACAAATTCACTTTAACGCGGCACTTTTGGGTCAGTGACCCGGGGCGACACCATGTAATTTCGAATTTTATTTTAAGATTCCGAAATTGAACAACAGGATGGTGATGATAATGTATGCCTGTGCTCACAAACTAAAATTTACTATTCTAGTGACAGCAACCAAGAATATTTACCTAAACATAAAAAAAAGACCTATGGTAAGCAAATGAGGATGGACTTAACTCTACCATTTTGGTTAGCGGACGTTATGGTGTTTTCAACCGTGCTACAACTAAATATTGCTATGTTGCTATTTATCTACCCTTATGATTATACAGGGAGTCCCTAAACATCCTGTACCGCTTTTCTTGGGATTGTCACTTGCATAGAGACAAACAGATATTGCAATATAACCATGGGTCTCCCATGCCTAGTTGTGTTTGACTTAAATGCTACAGAGGCTGAAAAAAGTGCTGAACGTATTCAGCGAGCTCGGTCACATTCTTCTACTGAGGTTATATTTGAGGAGAGAACCGTGCCTTCAGCTTTCACAAGAAAGTTCTATTTAATGATAAAAACAAAGTGCAATGACCTACTAGATGGTGTTGAAGTAAATGGCACGCTTGAAAACACTGACAAGCTGGAGGGCTTCTATCTGGAGGGATAGAAAAATTGATCGGGCTGAAAACAAACGGGAGATCATGGACACAGAAGTTGGAGATCTTCAAAATAGGCCTTCAAAGAGGTTTAAGCTGTATTAATGCCTGTTTTCACTGTTGCCTTTTCATTCTATTTCTCTTGATAATATGAACATTTTTACGATACATTTCTTATTTATTTATATTCTTATTTATAGGCCTATACATATATTTTCTTATATATTCTTTGTATGGTTATTTTATAAGATTTGGCCAAACTGAATAGCTTGAAACTTTTAATACTAGCATTGATTGAAGATTGTTTTAATAAAAAATACGTTCAGCACTTTTTGTACTCTTTTTTTTAAGCCTCTATAGGATACCCATCAAACACTACGAGGCATGGGAGACCCAAGGTTATATTACAAAATCCGTTTGTCTATATGCAAGGAACAATCCCAAGAAAAGCGGTACAGGTTGTTTAGGGACACCCATTTAACTTGTTCGCTGCTGAGTGCTAGATGCCGGGACGGCGCCAGGAGCTGAAATAGCGCTCACCGCTGCGTAACATTGCCACTGATACTCTGAATTGCAGTAAAAACAACAGTAGTTATACTGGATAGCAATGTTCTGCAGTAAAACTGGCTTTGGACATAGTCACTATCTAGCAGGAAAGAGGTGGGACAAAGCCCTGTTCTATACAACCCTGGTGGTGATTTTGGGAAACTATATATTTTTTTGTAAGAAAAGTACGTCCCCGCGAGCTGCAAAGAAATATAGGATGCTCGTGACGAGCTGGCTGATCCATGGAAACGTTTAACAACAATGAACGGTAACGTTCCGGAACGTTCCTAGCTCCCAGTGCCATGGCCCCGTTCAGGAACGTCCGTAGCAGCGAACGTGTTAAGTGAATATATGTGACCATCTTTTTAAACTTGAATTTAGCAATCTAATGCCGCCTAGATAATGCATTGATGGTAGATTTTATGAGCTTTGAAGAGCGATATCCCGCAAACTGTTAGGCTTACAAAAAAAATTTGGTCTACAATTTTAGGAAATTTAATTTAACTTTAAAATAGGTTTTGCAGTGAAAAATGATGCTTCAGAGTATAAATTGGCCAAACTTAAAAATTAAATTTGGAAAATGTAATCATTATTTGCGGAGCCAAATCTTGGAAACTATTAGGTCTGGAATAACCATTTTGGTCTTAAATTATAGTTAATTTAATATACTTTTAAAATGACCATAGTGGTTTTTCATGAAAAAGTTATGCTTCAGGGTCAAAATTGGACAAACTTAAAAAAGTTCAAAATTATGCAGATTTATACGCTTTTTGGTGGTTAACCGGATGGTCGCAAAGGTAGAAAATTTGGATTTAGCATCTCGGAACTAACACATACAACACAAAATAAATAAACCTACTGCCCCATTTCATGCAGGGCAAAATGCACAAGTTTAGGCCGGGGCCACACTTGTAATTTTCAACCAGCGAGACTGTTTTTTTCCGTTTTCACGTGCGACGCACGTGAAACAGTTTGCCCATGGCCAACCTCGTCTTACGGGATAGGTTTTTTGGGCAAACCAGCGAGACTGATAGAGCATGCCACACTGGCAATAAAAATCGTCCGTGTCCGTGATACGCACTCCCCCCCCTTCCACGCTCTCTGTACAGGTTAAAACTAGAAACGTCCGTGGAAAAAGTTCAGCGAGATAAGATGAGTGTGTTCACTCCCATAAGCCGCAATGCCCCGCGACTAGTTTTACGTGCAACGCCCGTGGAATGTTAGTAGAGAATACACGTGCAATTCCGTTTGTCAGTCTCGCTGGTAAGACCATTGAGACTGACAAACGTGTTCACGGACGTTTTTACTCTAGTGTAGCCTGCCCCATATACCGTAATGTATCTCTCAAACCCACGGGTAACGCCCGTGGAAAAAATTCAGCGAGATAAGATGAGTGTGGCCCCGGCCTTACTGGATTACAAGGTACAAATTAAATATGTTAAGAAATCAGATGATGAGTTAATTTGAAACTGTAATAATTAAACAGAACCATGCCTAATCCAATGGTGTCTATTGGAGTTACTATTGCCCAAGTTTGATTGGGAAAAAGCTTAAGCTCCTTTGGTGTGCTTTGTTTCAGTCTACACCTTACGGACAATATTATAGTACACACTCTTACTTTGTAGAAAACTAACAAATCACCCCTTGATCTTTTCTTTATTGGGTTCACACAAATGTTAGTTTCACTGGTGCCTTGAAGTCAAAAGCATGATGTCACAAATGATTATTTGTAATTAAGAAAGTATATTAAAATAAGCTAAATCTATAAATAATGGACAGGGATCCTAAATTATATGTCTGATAAAACAGTGTCTCATAAAAATATGACAAAAGTTCTAAATAAAACATTTTTTTCCAACAAGCTATACAGAATTTGAATATTACTCTTATTATACTGCCTAACAAATAAGTCAATTCAATTTATTTTTATATTGAAAATTTTATTAAAAGCATTTTACTCACCACCATGCCAATGTTATTTTGTTCATTATTCTTTATTTCTACTGTTTCATCCAGTACGACATTCATGAAAGGATCAAAACCACGTAGAATTCCTTGCACATGTCTGCCGGCATTCAGCTTTACTGTAATATAACAATAACCCAATAAGTATCATAATAATGGTAGCCGAACTAAATTCATTCTACTCCAGGAAATGCTCAACTCAAAAGTAAAGATAATATAATCAAGTCTTAAGCTTGTCATGTTAATGAGACACATTCAATGAGGCTAGTTTCGAGCAGGGTGGTGGTAGAGCACTAAGCAGGGAAGATTGACCACACTTATATTTATGTTTTTACTTTGTTATATTTCTTAAACCTTCATGCACACATCAAATTCAATGAGAGAACATATTGCAGAAAGTAACTTTTCCAGGTTTTTGCATTCCAACAAAGTGTTAAAAACAAATTTTGCTAAATACGAGGGCGTTTTTTAGGAAAGGGTTGTTAAAGGTGTATAGCTCCATAGTTAGGGTATGCGCTGCAACTAGGCTCCTTCCCACTTACTGACTTTATTATTGAGCACAATAACACCATTTGCAGCTCTGTAGCTGACGTGTAATTTTTGCTATGTTGTTTTAAAATGTATGTCAGAAGAACTGCCGTCGTAACTAGTAAAAGCAAAAGATTCAAAAGTTGATCTAATACAGTTATAAAAAAAATCTGGTTAAACTTACGTGACAACTTCTTGTCCATGAATCTGAAACATAAAGAACCAATTGTAAAAAAGTGGGTTGAAAAATAGATACTATACGAGTAAACTATAGTGTACCTAAAGTAATGGGATTAAGGATGCAAAATAGAGCCAAGGGCTTAGGTTTTAGGACTGATTGTGGGATTAACTGAATAGAAAAGAGCCCAATGTAGCATAAGAAATACAAACTTAAAACTGTACACAAAATATTATAATATTTCAATGCCATTGGCAGCACTTTAAAACTAGGAAAAGTATGAGTTGGGGAGAGTTGTGTAATTTGTTGTTTTTATTTGGTGTACCAGCTGTAACCATTGACTATATATCCTACTACCCTATACCTTTTGCCTATAGTCTACTTGTAGGTATATATAGTCAATGGCTGTAACAGAGTTGATCAAAATATGACATGATCGACAATCCTGGAGCTGACCTAATGTCCTGTGATGACGCAATTTTCATATCATCACGCTAGTGCCACCATATTTAATTCCCAGCTTAGTTGACGACAAATAATTTTTCCTACAGCCACCCGACAAAGTTGGCTTCCTTGTACTGTTTATATTACAGAAAGCTGCTAATTGCTGCATATTTATACTTTGCCGTACATCAGGATTCCAACGAAACAACACAAAACAGCGTGGTTCTATTATGCACGTAATCCGTGTACGCTTGGAAATAGGTTGGCAACACTTAAAGATATGTTTTTTTGAACCCAGTGACAAGACCTGTATTATACAGTAATTATTTACCTATTTTGCCTGAAGGTCTTGTAGTTTGGATTAACACTCGATGCGCATTTCGCCGCTCAGTGCGGCATCTTCATACAATACAATAAAAATACAAGATAGATACACACTTGCAACAATAGATGTAGACAATATGTACCGAAACATACCAAGACAAGAAGCCATCGAGATACTCAAAAAAAGACTTACAAACTGTGAAAATTTCGATGAAGAAGAAATAAATGATATCATTAAAATTACAACAACAATAACGGAACAAAACTATTTCTCTTACAATAATAAAACATACTATGACCCCAAAGGTCTTCCGATGGGAGGTCCACTATCAGCCACCTTATCGAAGCTATTTATGCAAAATTTCGAGGAGCAACATATATTATCAGATAAAAACCCCTATTTCAACAAAATCAAATTTTATGCTCGATATGTTGATGATGCCTTCATCGTACTAAATGCTAACCAAAGACAGGCAAATAATTTCTTAACACACGTCAACAAAACACACAATAGCATCAAATTTAAAATGGAAACTGAACTAAACCATTCTATAAGCTTTCTTGACATAACAGTCACTAAAACTCAAAACCAAGCAGTTAAAATTGGAATTTTCAGGAAACCAACACAAACAGATCTAGTTATACCAGCAGAATCCAACCATCCTTACAACCAAAAAATGGCAGCTTTTAGATCATTAACATATAGACTTCTCAACTACAATCTCAACCAAAAAGAGTATGAAAAAGAAAAAGAAATCATAAAAACAATAGCATCAAATAACGGTTACAATCCAACAATCGTAGAAACTATGATCTGCAAAACCCGAAAGAAAATTAAATCCAATACACAAAATGAACCTTCAAATCAGTCAAACCCGGAAAACCAAAATCAGAAATACGTAGCAATCAAATACACCGATAAGACAACAGAAAAAATAGGAAAAATCTTTAATAAAGTAGGCTACACACCAGCTTACAAAGTTAAAACCAATCCGGTGCCCATTTACAAACAGGAAGCCAACAAAGATAACCCAGATAATGAAAGAGGAGTTTATAAAATTACATGTGCGCCCCCCTGCAATAAACAATATATCGGCTACACAAACAGAACTTTCAGCAAAAGATTCAAAGAACACAACACTCAACATCATGCCAACCCCAGCTCAATAGTAGCTAAACACCTGAAAGAAAATCATGGCCACAAAATTATTTATCCAGAATCATTACAGATCCTCCACAAAACCAACTCCAAATCTACTGCAATAGTCAAAGAAAGTTACGAAATTTATAAGCAAATTAACACTAACCCTGACCCCCTCCTAAATAAGAAGGAGGACTACCATAATTCAATTTTGTTTAACCTCATTCAAAACATAGAGGAAACCCAACGATCTGGCAACAACGCACTAAAATGGCAACAGCGCAAAAGAGAAAGCGACCATCCCTTACAAACAATGACTACATCCCTTGATCATAACACTGTCACTGTCAACCACTCAGATCCAGTACAAGTCCATCACGTCAACAGTGCGGAACGAAACGTGCCCCGCCGCTCGTGTCGCCGCCGGGCAACCGCGACCGCGAATGTGACTGGTTAGTGATTGGAAAATATAATGTAAATATGTACATAGTAACAGTAGTGTTTAAGAAGATACTCTATGAAGATGCCGCACTGAGCGGCGAAATGCGCATCGAGTGTTAATCCAAACTACAAGACCTTCAGGCAAAATAGGTAAATAATTACTTAAAGATAATAATACTAAGAGCAGCTGATTGACTATTATAACTACGATTTAACATTTAACCTGTCATTTCGTGTTTATAGTTTCGGTATTCTGGACTTTTCTTTTAAATGTTTTTAAAACATTCCTACGATCTTAATAAACAAGAAAATACCTTTAAAGCATTTTTTTTAGGCGCGGAAACGACTTCAAATTACAAAAACATACGGAACTATATTCTCAAAACGCGGAGCACATTTCTTGCCGAGGAAAAATAGCGGAGTGATACGGACCGCGGGTACTACTTTCTCTAGGGCACCATTTGTGTTGCCAGGGCTGAACCTAAAAACGTGTTGTATAGTGTTTGACAGACTAATTATTTATACGCTTTATAGTGACTGTAGGAAAAATATAATGTGTAACACGAGTGAAAAAGGCTTTTGCTGCACTCAAGATCATTCCGCACGAGCCGCCTCGTGTGCAGCAAAGTGCCACTTTCACCACTAGTTACACAAATAACTATAGTTAACCACACTAATACCCTTGTATTCATAGTAATGCTGATATCCTACTAAGACACATTATGCTGTTTTGATCTATTTAACCATCATGCGTTTGCTAACTGACCATCAACATCTTAAACAATTTCCCCAAATTTATTTTAATCAAAGATTTTGTCTATTAATAGGTATATTGCAAAACTGCTAGTATTACCAATCATTGTTAAAGTAAATACATTTTTAAAATCAATAATAACATATATACTTTAAACAGATATAAGGAAAGGATTTTCGTTTTCTAGAAATGTGTAATTTTAAAATAGGTATACATCCCAAACACTTGTGTAGCCCTATAATCAATTTTTGCCAGAAATATAATCTGTGTGTAGGAGATAATGAAGACTAACAAAAGGATAAATAAAAAAAAAAAAAAAAAAAAAAACAAGCTTAAAGAAATGTATTAACACCTATTCAATTCAATTTAATTCAAAGATACTTTATTCACATATATACAAAAGTATAAATGAATGGCGTTCATGAATGGCTGGACCTAGTTAAAGATGTGCTGTCCAAAAGTAAAGGGCTAACATTTGCAGGCCATGCGTGGTGGAGAGAAGATGAAGATTATTCAACTGTTACCAGTGTAACTTATTCCGAGGAGTATCATAAGGTAGTCGACCACTTGGCAGACCAAGAATAAAGTATAAAGACAAAGTAACGGAAGACGTTTCCAGACTGGGGTCTTCACTAGAAGAGGCAGGTGGTGGAAGAGAATGGAGGCGTGTTATTGGGGAGGCCAATAACCTCTTAAGGTTTTAGAAGCCTGTTACGGAGAATTTGCTTTTATACTGGTTAATATCTGGACGATAATATAACTAGGCAAAATGATGTTAAAAAAAACACTTTTGACTGATTACTTGATCCCCGTGCTAGGGACGGGCCCGCTGCTAAGTTAGCTATTTGAAAATTTGTGACAGAAGTTGTATCTAACTCACAAGTTATTAAAAGTGATAACTGTATATCTAATTAGGTAGGCCTATACAGGCAATGGTGGGAGATGTTTTTCGATCTTTCAGCCTTTAAGGTACAGGGACTACTGAAATTATTATAATACAACTCTGCAATTAAAACGGGCTTTTATACAGTAAATTTATTGCATCGCTGTAAACAAAGCACTTGGACACATTGTAGTTACAAATAAAAACAGTAGCTCAGCACGGAAGTCAAACAATAAATAAACTGTAAAATGAGTGACCGAAACAGATAACAAAGGCTTGATTCGCTCACATACACAAACACTCGCACAAACGGGCGTGCACAATTACTTGTGTAAACCTGGCAATAACTCGGCAATAAGTAGTACACGCATCCGATAAAATCTATTGCTGGCCGTTTTGCGGAAACATACGTCCGCAAACAGTATGACCGATGATGTCAACAGATAGAGGACACTTTAACGGACACGACAGTATCAACATCATGTACCTAGGGAGTAAAATAGGAGGGGTAAACTCAGCAAGTAGTGTGCGCACCTTTAAAAATCTATTGCTGGCTGTTTTGCGGAAAAATAAGTCCGCGATACATGTTACCGATGATGCCAACAGATAGAGGACACGACAGTATCAACATCATGTACCTGGGGAGTAGGTTAGGGGGGTTCAAGTCAACAATAAGTTGTGCACGCGCCCGATAAAATGTATTGCTGGCTGTTTAGCGGAAAAATGTGTCCGCGATACATATTGTAATGAAATCAGATATCTGAACTTTTGCCCTATAGGTCTAGCAAACATTAAAACCAAGAATCCTGAAGAATTAAGGGTGGGTGTGATAGCCATGAAGATTGGCCGATAGATTACCAGTCATATCCCACATTAAAGTAGGCCTAGGCCTAACTATCTATTTTATACACTTTTAACACAATTTCACACCTGAGGAAGTTTAAGGTGACGTTTGGGACGTAAACTTTTACTGATTCAAAACCTTTCTAGTTAACTTATCCATGTAAGCAATAGACATATAGCCTAAATAACCTCGGAAAGGAAAAACAATCTAGGCTAGGCCTAGGCCTATAGTTACCAGTCATATCCCACATTAAAGTAGGCCTAACTATCTTAGATACAAATAAGCCTAAGTTATAGCTAGGACATGATTTCCCTAGAATTGCTAAAGCCGCGTTTACACGAGGCCAGTGTAGTCAGGCAGGTTACTTGCCTCTATCTTAGGCCTAGTGCATTTAAGGTTAGGTACCTAAACCGGCAACGTGTAAAAGTGGCTTCAGTTACTATTAGATACTCACTTTTTCAATTCTGGAGGATGAGCTTTACTCATGTTGATGGTATACGGTGTAAAGGAAGCTAGGCTACAAAATTAAATAACGTCAAAATAATAAATTGATGTATGCAAGCACTAACAGTAGTAGCCGGCCAGCCGGATTCTCGTTTCGTTCTGGTTTCGTTAACGTTAAGCAACGTTAAGGTACGGTTACACCAGAGCGAACGAGCAGTAACGAATGCGAAATTCACTTCGGTGTGACCGGCGCAGCGAACACCAATCGGCCGTGTTCCGTGTTCGGCAGTGCTCGGTAGTCGCATGTTCGCGTTCGCGCCTGCTCCATCCATTGTCGGTTTCAGTGCGAACGATCAAAGGAAATTCGCGTTCGCTCGTGTTCGGTGCTCGCTTCAGTGTGACCACTTACTTACTTACTTCTTCTTACTTCCGGTGTCCTCGCCACAATCGTTTGATCGGGGAGTCGTCAACTTTCTTCCTTTTTCAGGGTTTTCTGTGTTCAGGTTTCGTGTATTTATGTATTTATGTTTTATGTTTTGTGTATGCGTGCTCCTCTATGTATTCTTTTATTGAGTCGTACGGCCTTGCAGTTAGATACAATTTTAATTTTTTTTCAAAATTGGGTGTGTTTGATTTTAGGTGTTGGGGTAATTGGTTGTAGAACATTGATCCAGAGTATGTGGGTGTGTTGTTTGTTTTTTGAAGTCTGTGTTGAGGTATGTCTATGTTTGTTTTACTTCTGGTGTTGTGGTTGTGCTGCGATTGTCTTAGGTTGGGATTGGATCGGATGGTAAGGATTATGGTTTCGCAGATATAGAGTGAGATTAATGTCATTATGTTGAGTTGGATGAAAAGGGACTTGTGATTGGTTGATTCTTCTGGTCTTGTTATTGTTCTGATTGCTTTTTTTTGCAATTTGAAAAGTTTTTCCATATTTTTTTGAGCTGTGGATCCCCAAGCTGCAATTCCATAGCGTAGATGTGAAGTGAATAATGAATGGTATGCTATGAGGGCTGTTTCTTGGTTGGTTATACTTCTTATTCTTCTTATTACAAATATTGCTGATGCCAGTTTTTTGCAGAGTTGATCAGTATGTTTGTTCCAGTTTAATTTGTTGTCTATTGTGATGCCGAGGAATTTGGTGTTTTCTGCAGTTGGGATCTCTAGCTGTGACCAGTCGTCTAGTTTTTGTATTGTTGGTTGTGAAGTTGATATGGACGGTTTTTGTTTTATTTATGCTCAGCTTTAGGTTGTTGCAGTATGATGTTATATTATGGTTGAGCGTGTTATTTATCTTTTGGCAATTGTTTATACTTGAATTTGATTTTGTGGGGATAATTAGCGTAGTGTCGTCTGCAAACAGGATACATTTTTGGTCATTTTGAAGTTGATTTGGAAGTTCGTTTATGTATATTATGAAGAATAGGGACCCCAGGATCGATCCTTGTGGTATTCCCCTAGCTGATGTTTTTAGTGAGGATTTGACTGTGGTTATCATGTTTTTATTTTGGTTGTTTATTTCTACGAATTGTTGTCTGTCCGTCAGGTAATTTTTTATCCAGTTTAAAGCTTCATGTTGTATATTTAACTGCTGCATTTTTTGAATAAGTATGTTCCAATCGAGCATGTCAAAAGCCTTTTGCAGATCTATGAATATGCCTGATGCTGATTCTTTATGTTCCCAAATTTTGGTTATGTCATTACATAGTTGAGCTATAGCTGTGTTGGTACTTAGTTTTTTCCTGAATCCGTGTTGGTTTGCTGTAATTAAGTTATGTTTCTCTATGTGGTCTGTGATTTGGTTGTAGATGACTCTTTCGAGGAGTTTAGATAGGACTGGTAGGTTTGCGATCGGTCTGTAATTTGTTGGGTTATTTTTATCGCCTTTCTTGAATTTTGGATATATTTTTGAGACTTTCATTCTTTTTGAGATTTCTTGTTGTTCGATTGAGTTGTTTATTATGTGTAGGATGGGATTTACTAATTCTTCTTTGCAGTGTTTTATGATTTTTCCTGTTATGTCGTCAAAGCCTGCAGAGTTCTTGGATTTTAACCTTTGTATGAGGAGCACTAGTTCTTTTTTTGTGATCTTGTTAAATTTGCATAGCGGTGGGACGTTATTTCCTTGGGTATTGTTCAAGTTAGTTTTGTTTTGGGTTTCTATTAGAGGGCCACATTGGAGTGACTCCAGTCTGGTCCTGCATGCTGCCGGTGTTTACTCCTATCAACAAGTAACAAGTTGTTTAGGTCAAAGGTGGTTTTTTTAGTTGTACTACAATTTCCTATTTTGTTTAACTATGGAGTGGACTGATGACAAAGTGTTGGAGCTCATTGAAGAGTACAAAGCACGGCCAGTGTTATGGGATCCCACTAGTGCGGATTATAAACTCTTAAACAAGAAAAGTGACAGTTGGAAATCGCTGGCGGCTGTCATGACTACCGATGTTGAAGAAGTTAAGAAGAAAATTAATTCATTACTGTCGTCGTTCAGGCGAGAACGGACCAAGGAAAATAAAAAGTCCGGCATGGCTGCAAATGAAGTCTACAAGTCCAATTGGTTTGCCTATGCCCCGATGGCATTCCTCAAGGATAAATTTAAAGTGAATGATACAAAGAGCTCAGAGGTAAGGATTTTAATAATGAATATTATATTGAAATCAATTTAACATGCAATTTAAAAACATTTTTATCCTTGACATTTTTCGATAAACCCACTCGTTTAGGAGTTACAGCCTATGGAAAAATGACTTCCGGTGTACATTTTACATCATGTAGCTCTTAAACAAGTATGTTTATAGCAAAAATGCGAAGAGTAAAAAAGTCTTAAAATTGCATCCACATTCCAAAAAGACCATAAAATACACAGTTTAAGAGCTACATGATGTAAAATGTACACCGGAAGTCATTTTTCCATAGGCTGTAACTCCTAAACGAGTGTGTTTATTGAAAAAATGTCAAGGATAAAAAAGTTTTTAAATTGCATGTTCTATCCGAAAACATGATAAAATATAGGGTGTTCTATAAGAAATTACAAAGTTGACCGCCATATTGGAAAATGGCGGCCATTTACAAAAATTTCATTAAATTATTTTTTAGTTAAATTATTTACGTTTAGGAGAAGGAGACGGCTTACGGAACGGAAGTCGGACTCGGACTAGAACCAAGCCAAACGAAATGGCGGCAAACCTTGAATCTTGAATTGAAACCTAGTGTAGCGAAGCGACAGTGACTTCGACTTGACTTGACTACTCCCACCCACTAGTGAGTGGACTCCAGTGGAGTGGAGTAGGATCGGAGTTCGGAGTGTAGTGAAAACATAGTATCGATTATCGAATAGCGATTGCACTATCGACAGTTTGTAACTATCAATAGTTAGCAGGTCGATAGTATTGTACTAACATCAAGAATATCGTACTATCGATAGTTTTTGTTACCGGACCTCAGTTTCGGTAGTGGGTAGTGGTAGAATTGGCAGAGTGGCAATGGCAGAGGCAGGGCAGAAGTTCGGAGATCGAGATCGAGATCCTTGGCTTGACGCCGAACCGAAACCAGTTTATCCACATGACCAAAACAAAAATCCCACTTTTGGGTCGAGAAAGTCTGTATTATCCCACATGAATATTGTAAAATAATTTGAAAATATTTTAGTAAATTCGAACGTGACATTATAAAAATACCCCCGCCACAGCAAACCTAAGCCAGACAGCAATTCGCAGACTAAGCGAATTTCCATTTGCATGATTGGATTTACGCTAAAATGTCTCCTTAAAAATATCACATGTACGGTATTCCTTATTTAAATAACATAAGTTTAACGAGTAGTTAGGTTTGCTGCAACAGGGAGGGTAAAAAGTTGTTTTTTGTAAAATGTTAATATGAAATGAATGCATTTTCCAAATTTGATCAAAATATGTTCATAAACAAGCAAACTACTTATTCCCCATAAGAATAACAGGGGAATTTTAAATTGACAGATTTTGGTATTTTCTCCGTAACCATTAGGCGCATAACGCTTCAATATACTAAATTATTTGTTTTTTTAAGCTCTACAAAATGGTTTGGAAATAAATTGCTAAATTTTAAGTTTTTAGGGTCAAAAATTTGAAAACCCGTTTTTACCTCATAAACCCCTCTTCCCATAGTCCGATCATGCTGGTTCGCGAACTCGTTCAAATAAACGTAGGTTTATACGTTTGTACCAAATTTCATCAAAATTGGATGATTTTTGCTTGAGTTATCGCGCTAACTGACACATATATAAATATATATATATGAATTTGAACGGATGGTGTTTTTGGCCTCTAGGAACCTCAAAACAAAAAAAGTAAATCGGTCCCGGGTCCAGGTCTTACCATGAGTACTATGGTAATAGCTTATTCCCTATAGGGGAAATTCGCTAAAAGCAAAGATTCCTCTCCACTAAATTCAATCTCCTAGCTGAACAGCCACGAATAAACTGAAATTTCAACACCTCCTCTATGACCCAATTCAAACTAATCTTCTTGATGTACTTTGGAGAATGCAGTACCAGTAAGTTATTTGAGCACCTCAACCAAGATTAGGATACGTGCAAACTGCAGTAGAAGTTGAAGTGGTGCAGCAACTTCTTTTCTACCAATGATTGATCTGAATCCAACTTCTCACAGTTGTGTATACACCACACTCATGTGCATAAGCAATATGAAGCAAAAAGATTGAATGTTGAAAATCTTATTGTTACCTTTGATCAGTGCTTGTGGATAAAGGCAATGGAAGTTAAATGTGCAGTTATCACAAAGGAGAATTTGATAATCTTGTAAACCGTCTGGGTAGGTTTTACATATTAATGTCCTTTCTTGGAGGTATTGGAGAACTGATGGCTGGATCGGGCATTGAAGATGCTTTTCAGACAGTTTATGCTGAGAATTCAGTATCCCACATGTTAAAAAGGCAAAGCATATTCACGTGCTCTTTGAGGGCATTTTCTAATTTCATCAGCTCTCACTGCTTTTTTACTGAAGTGCAGCTTACCAGCAGATTTGAGTGAGATTTCAACGAACACCAATGAAACCATGGAGGTGGAGACAAGTAACAATGATGATGTAAATCTTCATCTTGAAAATGTTTTGAACTATTCCAAAACGTGCTCAAAGGTAACATTAATGAAGAGAAACTTATTTCAAATACTTTTCTTAATGAAATACCGTCACTCATAGATGAAAGAAAGGACCTTCTCAAATAAGAAAGCCGTACGGCCAAACTGTGGCTTTTGTATCTGGATATGGTGAGTATTGTAAAAACATTTATTTCAGCTGAGCGGTCAGGAAATTTTGAAAAGCACTTACAGTGAGCAACATATTGTTGCAGCAACATACTGAACATTTGAGGTTGAGCAACATATTCATCTGAGATTTATCTGATGCCAGGATGGCCAAAGACTTTAAAGATATGAAAAACATTGTGGCGTTTTTCTCAGACCATAACCCATTTCGTGCTTGTTCAAGTGGTTTATGGAATATATATAATGGAATCACGGATAGTGCTAACAAGGTTACTGGAGATCCTGCTGACATTATTGAAAGACAAATTGAAGACAATCTCACTGGGGCATTTTTTAAAGATAAAACTTTACTCAAATCAGACCAAGCAAGCAGTAACCATGAAAGTATTGAGGAAAGGAATTGTTATGGCTGGTGAGAATCGCCATAGATTCACGATAACACAGAGAATGATTGCTTGCATCTCTTTGGATAACACCGCTAAATCTGGAAGGGAGTTTTTCAATTACGAGCTATCCACTATACCTACTTCACTGTTTGACCAGAGTACTCAGCAAATGAGAAAGTCAGATGAATCTGCATTGGCAAGGACGATAGAATAGAAAGCATTAATTTCAATGTAATACAGCAGCCATGTTTTCACCAAAGTGCTTGCTATGTTCTTGATAGAGGTGCATTGATTTACCATCAGCTGCCATGGTCTGCTTGTGAAACATTTGACGATATTATAAGGCAATACGAATCTTGTGTTAACAAAAAGTATGGAAAGGTGACAATAGTCTTTGATGGATATGAAAAACCAAATATAAAATATATGGAGCGCAGATTACGCATAAAACAGTTGTCTGTTGTTGTAGCCTTTGATGAAAATACACCTGTTATTGTCAAGAAAATCCAATTTCTTTCAAACTCTACAAATAAACAACGCTTAATATTTTCACTGGGAAGCTATTTTCAGGAAAGTGGCCACACTTTCATTCATGCAAAAGAGGAAGCAGATACCCTAATAGTAAAAGAAGTTCTAAACAAAGCCAATTCACATAATATCACTGTAGAAGCAGATGATACAGATATTTTAATCCTGCTACTGTACCGTATCACTCTACTAAGATCATTTTGATGCATTCTACCACACAGTCTGATATATTTTGTTGACATTCAAGGATCTATCGGAAAGGAGGCATGCAAAACAAAACTTTACTTTTTGTTCACGCATTGTGACACCACCAGTGTATTATTTGGCAAAAGTAAGTCGTCAGCTTTCAAGAACATGATTGAGTCTGAAGTTTTGTGCGAATTAGCTTCCAGTTTTGGATCCCACAAAGAAATAACTGAAGAAGATTTGATTAACATTGGATGTCAAGTTATATATGGAGGTAATGCATTGGTAATGTTGACACAAGCAACCTAAATGTATGAATAAAAATGTTAGTCAATACTGCAAATGCTTTCCATTTTTTTTTTTTTTTTTTTTTTTTTGTACGACAGTATTTCTTAATAGTGCTTATAACCACTATAAAAATTTTCAGCATTTAATTTCCTATAATTTGATACCCAAAAAGGTATTTTTTCAAATATTAAAATATTTACACTGTTTTCAAGCTGGTGGCCAAAAAAACATATTTTGCGCAACAAGGATGTATATTTTTAGTATGTTGATTAGAAGAATATTACCTACCATTCCCAGCAAGAATCATTTGTGTTGCAATTAGTTTCAACTTGTATATTTTCCAGGTATATTTTCAATTATTTCTACTGCACTAAACCGCAATACTGTAAAAATTACGTTTCAAAAGAAAGAATTTGCCCCCTCTGGTTCCTGGGCTAAAGAAAAAAATATGCTGTATACAAATATTTTTTCTCCTGTCAAATCCTAAAAAGCACGGCAGGCAAAAATCTGCCTATACTTGTACAGTAATTTGAAACAAAAATATTATTTTTTATTGTCTTAGATAGCACATTTCGAGTTTACATAAATTATAAGTTTTGTTATTCATTTACTTTTTCTGTTTGGTTCTGTACGATCAACCAGTTACTTCTAGTTTATATATACATAAACATGCAGATTTTTATGAAGCATTGCTTTGTCATTTACTTTTATGAATTATTCAAGCATAAAAATTATACACGTGTATCAATTTTACGTAATTTATTTTGAACATTGTAGACTACCAGTTTAATATAGTTAAATAGCACCTTTTGTACTTTTGTGTAAAATTATTTTATTGGTGATAACATTTGATTTGCTTTTCAGTTCTTAAATACTTGTATTTTATTTAAAAACCAAAATAAACTGTTATATACTATAGGCTATGAATACAGCCGTATTCATTGCTAAATGTATGTTTCTGTCTGTTATCAATAATAATTGTTAATTTCATTAATTTTCTTGCTAAATTAATTAAAATAAATTTTACTCATAACTTTTTTTAATTCGAAGTGCTTTTGAAAATTAAAATAAGCTTAAACCCCTCTTTTTTGTTTAAAAACTGCGAAATTATCCGGGGAGGACCCCCGGACCCTCTCTCCCCCGTTTGGGGGGGGGGGGGGTATTCCATACCCCCCATACAATTTTTGGTTTTGGTGTTTGCCCCCCCTCCCAAGGATTTGGTGAAATGATGCCACTGGTTTGTTCCCACCATACTCATGAGATTAAATTGTGTCTTAAAGTTAAATTTATGATGGTAGGTATATTTAATACTAAATTTCAATGTACTAATAGAATATTTTTTTATTTAATCACACATATAAAATAATTGTTCTTAACACTAGTTAATAAACAGTTTTATAGATTTAAATGATCAAAAATAACACTTTCATGGATCATACAGTACTGGATGACTCGTTAAACTTATTATTTCTTAAATCTATCTATGAAATATACACTTTACAAATCTATGAAAGATATAAATTATTTTGAAAGCTAAATTATTGCTAAAACAATCCTTCTGTTGGTACAATTTGTATAAACATATTTCTTAAGATAGTTATGATAGAATAAAGAGTTATAAGATTTATTTATTTATTTTTATTTTATAAACTTATACAACTGATCGAAATGGACCACAAAAGATATCTTACATTCAGTAAAGTATTGAAGAATCGCTAATACTCAGGCGGGATTGTCTTGGTTTAAAAAACAGGGAGAAATCAAAAGTAAAATTAAATTGTTTCCATAACCATCACATTTGGATATATCGCTAATCCTACAGGAAAGGTGTTTTCCTATCTAATATAAAATGCTTTAATATTAAAACCCTTCCAGGGCTAAATTAAATGAAGGGCTGGAGCTTAATTATGTATTGCCATAATTAAAAACTAAAGTGGTTGTGTTTTGTATTAATTTCACTTGAAGATATCCATGGGTCATAAAAAGATTTTCCTTTGGGCTAAACTAATTTTTGTACAAAAGTTATGAAGAAAATAAAATTTGATTGACGGATATATCGGTCTTTGGCCCACAAAAAACATAAGGTGGGCGGATATATCCATCTGCCGCCCTTAGTGATAATCACAAAATATGAAAAAAGCCAATAATCTTGAGTATTCTTGTGGGCGGCAGACGGACATATCCGTCAACCTTAGGCTATTCCTTCCCTTGTTTTATTTTTTATCCATAAAAATGTATCTCATTCTGAAGTACAGTAAATCTAAACCACTCAGTTCCGCTCCCATGATCTCAATCCCATTCCCCCCCAAGACTTACACTATGTAAAGACTGTTCTTCAGGTTCATCATATACATCACATCACATTCCATACTAATATTTTCACTGCAAAGTATAAAACCCCACTCAGACATACTTTTATTAAGCATCTCAATAACATCTTCAAATTTCAGATCGTTTGCATTAGTAACTTTAGCTCAATAAACACAAAATGTAAACATCACTCACTAATAACCATGTTTAAAGTGACAGCAATATTTACTTACACACTCTATGGTGCAAAATAGCCGAAACAGCTGCAGGAATTATTATTGCCAACCACAAAAACAAAATAACACATTTATAATGCAGTGTGATGTTTATTACCATATTATAAACATTGTATATCAATTTGTTTTTTGGACGGTTATATTCGTCGTTAGCCCAGAAAAGAAATTTCTTGGGACGGATACATCCGTATTCAGCCCCGAAAGTAAACAAAGATTGACGGATATATCCATCCATAGCCCTGGAAGGGTTAATATACAACAGAAATAGTAAATTAAATCGATCACTGATGTTATTATTCAACCTGTCAAAAGTGATTTACTTTTTTTTAATCCTGTAACTTATGAAAATGATTTTCTAGATCATCATTAACTAAGGAAAACTAAATTTTGCAAATATTTGTTCCTATTAAAAAAAAAAATTAAAGAATAATAACTAGATAAAACATTTTGCAACATAGTTTATATACAAATGTTAAATATGATGTGAAGGTGTCAGGGTCAGGTGATATGGAGCCAGAGAGATCCGAGGCCAAATATGGTCAGAATTGAAGGTGATGTTATTGTAAAAGCTCTGTTACATCCATCGTAATCACAAGACTGGATACACCCAGTCATCATAGTATCCTGGTACCTGAACTCCCCACACTGAGAGTCCATTGTCTTTATCACACAAGCTCGGATCACCATAATCTCTTTGGTATCCACTGAAAAATTATTTCAAGCTAGTAAGTCACGTGAAACAATACCCCTACGCAGCAAAAATACAGACTAAGCAAATTTCCATTTCCTCTTTGGATCATCTAGTACGGTATATTTCCTTAAAATTGTCTGATTTATTCCCTTTTAAAATAACATGAAGAGTAAAGAGTACTGATTTTGTATACAGAAATGGTACATATTAAAAAGGATTTTAGAAAGAAAAAATATTTGGCAAAACTCAAAACATTCTGTGAGTTAGTTAAATGGATTGTTCAAGACATATGCACAGGAACTTGTAAGATTGGAAATATATTTACCTACGACCGGTTTTTTAAGTAGCCAGTTCAATTCTTAGAATTGAAAAGTTTCTCATAACAGCATTATTTACTTACTGTACATAATAGCATAGTTTTACACATAACAACACGGGTAACGGACCAATGAGATTCAAGGATTGAGAGAGAAGAAGTAAAATTGTAATTCTTCGACTTCAACTAACCAGCTGTTTACCAATTTAATTGTTAAATGATTGGTGCAAGTAGTGATTGGTACAATGAGTCCTTGCATCAATGTCAGTGGCAAATTAGAGGCTAAAAACCAAAACTAATTAAAAATTAATGTAATTAAAAACCGGTCGTAGGTAAAGTAGTGTACGCAACTCGTGTAACGACACTGGTAGAAGTTTTTTAAGCACTTGCCAAGGCTCGTACCTAAAATTTTCTACTCATGTCGTTAACGTTACGCGATCTTTGCCTAAACTACTATTAAATAATTAATATCTTGTAAATAGTTTACCATTTTTTCCATCTATCTTGATGCAGAAATTAGCTGGGAACATTCCAACATGGCCCTGTTTTGGAACCATGCACTTCTCTTTATAAGTTGACATTGCAGGGTTAAATGGATCCTGACAGTTTGGGTTGCTTCCATTTAGAGAAGAACAAATGTAGCAATTGATAGATGATACTCCTGCAAAATACATTAAAATTAGTACCTAATACTTACTCTAAACAAATAACCCGACTACCTAATCAAAATAAAGGGGTCCAGGCCATTTCAGAATCTAAATACCAATCAAAGGCTATTTTGGTTCATAGAGATATGCGACCATTGTATTTTATGTTACTTTAATTAGGTACTGTTGTCTTTAAAATATACAACTTTATGGGTTTCCTCTAAATCGGTTTTTTGACTCCTAAAACACAAAACTTTGTATTTTAAACTAGGCCTTAAGCTATTAATATTTTACTAAAAACGACACTTTATTAGTTTCCTTGGGGCAGCAAACCTAGGTAATCGTTAAACCTAATGTTATTTAAATAGATTTAATTAAAAATCAATTACAAATGAAAATTTGCTTCGTTGGCAGGTTTGCTATGGCGTGGGTATTTTTATTAAAAAACTGAATTTTTAATTTCCTTGTAGCAGATAACTTAAATACAATTTAAACACATTTTTTAAATAGAGAATAAATCTGATAAGTTTAAGAAAACTATTTTACTGGGAAGCCAATCAGGCAAATGTTAATTCACTGGTTTGTAGGTTTGCTGTGAAGGGGGTATTCTAAAGTGGGTGTTCTTTATAATAAAGGATGACAAAAATATATGTCAATGTAAATCCTGAAGATGGCCAGAATTTGTGACAATAATAATTTGGTAAATAGTCAGTCGTCGTCGACCAGTTCAGTGACGTGTGCCGGCCGGCCAATTATGTTAAATGTCTACCGTGTTCGTGTTATGTTTGTTTGTGTGTTCAATGTATTTAAGATTTGACGACATTCAACGAATGTAATATTTTAACGTTCCGTTTTTGATAATGACTACGCAGTAGTCGAAACTATAGTCAACGGATACCGACTAAGGAATTGTGGACGTCAAGGTACGTAACCTGTTATAAATAATAATTGCTTATTGTAATTTATTGGATTGCCATAAAGCACTACGATTACATGTTTTACTGTAGCCCTGATTCAGTTTGAACCTTTAACATGATTAAAAGTTTCGGTAGCATCATCATTGTCAACATCAACAGCATAATCTTCATCTGCTGTGTTTTAGGAAAAAACAAGTTTTTCCCAAAGAAACACTTATACATAAATGCATTATTATTATGTATATTTTCAATCTGTTTCAATGTAGGATTAAAACAATCATCCATGTCTTGTCGATAGGTTCATACCTAGCATACAATTAGCATGCAAACATCGAACGGAAATAAAAAAGTGTCAAGATAAACTTCAAGATACAGTAGGTTCAGCCCAAAACAATTTTCACAAATTTTCCCCAGTTATTGAGTTTATACAGAACAAATGTTGCTAGGATAAAGTATAACAAATAATTCATCTACCTCTATCAGTGCCCTTATAATATGGAATTGTATTTCTCAGTAAACTAATTGATACTTTTTACAATTTGAACATTTGAATATATGACTATTTATCTATGTCTGAAAGCAAAAGTTTTACAAACACCATAACATAAACTTACCTTGAAGACAGTACAGTAGTAATACCAGAGCTAACTCCCACAAATGAAGAATCATTTCTGATAATCACCTGAAAAAGAAAAGGAATAATGCAATTAAATTGAATTGAAGCATATTAGGGATTAAACAACTACTAACATCGGTTAACTTTTGATTTTAAGTTAATTGAACTATTATTTGTTTCAACTTAGTCATATAGAATCTATATCGTCGATAGATAGATATTGAACAGATCTATATCTCAAAGAACTTTATTTGAGAAGAAAAACTATGGAACAACATTCCAGGACCTTTCCCTGTAGAGAACTTATACTACGGTTCAACCTAATAATGTCTAGAAAAATGTCATCAAGGTTCTAAATTCTAGGAATCAAACCCAACTTACTCTTTAACACAAACTATATGAATTTATTGTTTTATTTCCACTCATCATGTTGCAGTTAACAGGACTTGTGACTTGGACTGGTGTAATTTCCCAGTCTCAATAACAGTTAATCATGTAGGTTTTCGGTACCTTATAGCTTTGACAAATGATAAAACTAGACATTCCATCCCTATGTTAAAATTGTCACCTGGGACCTGTTTCATAATAAACTAATTGTAATTTACATTAGATTTGCAGTGGGTGATCAGCTGATTTACTAAGAATATTATGTGGTTTGTAGCTTATTATGAAAAAGGCACCTGTTTTAATTACAAATGTACAAACAGTAGTTAAAGAGAGCCACTGACAGATTGTGCTGATGTAAATTAGGTACTGATTTCTGTTGAATATGCACTTTAAATACAACTTGGACGACTCATTGTAAGATCTTGTATGACATGACAAATATCTCAGTAAAAAAAATAAGGCAGGAAATAGAATTTTGAACACTAGCGGAATGTATGACTGGCTCATAGAACAACGTTATTATTGAATAAACAATTTGTGACAGCTGGTCCATATATGGGATTTCAACTTCAGTATACAACAGTCAATGCTTATAGTTGCCAGCATCTTGATGAGAGCTATGAAGCCCGATTCGCAGAGAAATGGCACACTGCAGTCAAAGAGGTGAAAGTTCGGAAATCACAATCTCACCCTCATCCTCTCGCCCTCCAACCCATACATACTATGTACCAACCATACCATCACAATCGAATCAGACAGTAACGAGTAGTGTGCCTGGTCCGCCCACCGTGTCATAGCCGTAGGTACACCGGCCAACCGAATGTACATAAATATTTTAGTTTTATTGTAAGCAGTGATGTTAATATATAAACTTAGCACATAATGATGCCTAGCAACTGGAAAATGTACATCTGGCTTCATACCTCTCTTCAAGTACCCGGCAAATATAAGGTAAACCTAGATAACTTTAAGGAAAATTACTTCTATGTGACACATTTTACATTGAAAACTTTTTATACAAAAATACTAATATTACTGTGCATCAAATAAACCATTTAATAACATTATTCAATTATCCCCTTAGGGGGACTGAATGAAAAAGCAGAATATATTACTTATTGCAGATGAGATATTGAAGTACATATAAAAACTGTTTTAAAGAAAGTTGGCCAGTACCATTGAATATTTGAAAGTTAACTTTAAAAATAAATCTAATGTTAGGGGGTGAGACATTAAAGGGAAATACCTTTTTAGTTACCATTTCTCACTCCACTACATGATCATATGCTTTAAAATGTCACCTCAATAGTAAAAATCAGGTTAGTTGGACATCTGAAAAACAGACAGCAAACCCCCTTAATGGGGTGGTCCACGGGAAATGGATATATTTAAAAATACTATTGCTCTTAAGGTTTTAATCATAGAAAAGTTTTGGAAAGGCTGTGCCATTTGCAAAATAAATACCATATTTTAAGTTTTTAACACAACATCACTCAAATTGCAGCCATTGAAACGGACCCACATTTTTAAGCCTTGCTCGAAATCGATCCACGTTGTTCAGTAACTAATCATTGATTAGTTCAATTTGGAATTTGGCTCCTGATTGGTTTCCTGTCTCAGCCAGAACTGTATCCTTCAAGATATTTAGGTCTGAATTATGGGAATGGTTGATAAGCAATTCTTTCTATAGCATCCATGATTTTTTTTAAATAAAGGTTAATAATGCATTTTGATGTGTATCTACGTGATCCATAGTCTCTAGACTTGTCATATTTTAATTAACGAAGTATTTTGTAAACTTTATTTATTATTTTGAAAAATTTTGTATTTGTTTTGACTATGTCTAATCCTTTGCACAAAGAAAGTTCAATGTTATTTTGATCGAGATTTAAAACGCCTGCAGAAACACAATGCAATACCCGCAACACAGGAGCGCGTTGCTGTCGCGTTTACTTTGCGAAGGCGTTCTTTCAATTCTTTACAAAATAAATAATAAATATTGCTTTATTATTTTATAATTTTTGTTTTGATGAGATGTTTTGCAGTGATGAGAAGTTTTATTAAGTGTAAGCAGTGTGAGACATGTTTTACTGTTGTAAACATAGCTAAAACAAGTCACTCCAAAATCATTCTAAAAATAACACAAGACCGAAAAATTGTTACTTTATACTTCAATAGTAATACTGATGTTTCAGACTGATAAAATTTGAATTTTTCAAAGTTGAACTATATCCTAACTGATATCACCTAGCTTTTATGGGTAAGAGTTATTTTTCATAAGGCGTGACTAATTAATATTTGTTATTTATACTTATGTTTTTATTGATTTTTTTTAACAAAAGATTTTAAATATGCTTGCATATTATTATTATTTTTGTATTTAATCATCTGTCACTGTCATAAATCAGTAGGTATTTAACAATGCTACAAAATCAGGTAAAATTGACGAACGTGCGAGAAGGGAAACCCCGAAATTTTATGAGGAATAAAACATCCAGTCTTGTCTCGAGCTACAAATCCAATCTCGTCCGTCCCTAAAATTCTAGGTCCTACTAACCCGATTTTTATTATTGATGTGTCATTTTAAAGCGTAGGATGGTGGAGTGAATGGTAACTCAAAAGGTAATTTACTTTAGGGTCTCGCCCCCTAACGTTAGATTTATTTTTTAATTAACTTCCAGAGATTCACTGGTGCTGACCAACTTTATTTAGAACAGTTTATATGTGAATTTCAATTTAACAGCTGATTGCTTAGTTGAATACAACCACATTTATATCCTATTTATAAAGTTTAAAACTCCATAAGATGTTAATATTATAATTCATCAATAGTCTATTGGCAGTAATGTATTATCAGCAATAAGAATAAGTAATCAATTGCCAGACCTCAGACCTACATTTGAACCCAGTTTGGGGGCTAGAGTACATAACGTTGATATTAAAGACAAAACTATATATTTTTACGGGTTAAAGAGGCACGGCAATGTCAGGAGAGTCCCGAGAATCTACGATCTAGTATCATGTATCTACTGTAGTGTGTAAGAATAGTGATGTAGTTTAGTTTAGCCAAGCATTTGCCTTGTCAATTCGTTCGGATATAAGTATCTGCGTATCTGTATGCTGACTAAAACAGTATGAGTATACACATAAACGTTACCACTCCAAACCTCAAATAAAAAATATTTACCTCTCCAGTAAATGTCTCAAGGTCAAGCAAACATATCGAGAGGTGAACTCAACGAAGAAGAAACTGTAGTTCGTATTTGCAATAAACTATTAATAGCTGCAGCTGCGTTGATAATGATAAGTCTTACAAAGGCAAACCTAGAATACGTGTTCATCTAGTCTGATGTATAATCATAGAGTAGGCAAGGGGTTTTCAAGTAATATAATATTTTATTTTATTCTTGTATAGTTTTGTCTTTGTTATTGCATTGGCCTATTTTGTTCATTCTACTTTCATCAAGGAATCAATGTGTGCTAATTTTCAATGTGTCACATAAACTTGTAAAGTATGGCATACTAAATAGGAATATTACACTTGAAGATAATTTTATGTTGTGTCCGAATTAATTTTATCATATTTTCGGCCTTACAAGAAGTCGTTTAACTTAATAAACTGAAACACTGCCCTTTTGGGAACCCAGTAGAAGCAGCCACACAATAATAAATACACATTTCCTGTCGACTATTATTATTACAACATTATTAAATTAGCAAATTTATTTGACCTTTTATTTTAGTCTTTCAACTGGCCTACCTGTCGTATAATTTACGTTTGTACCGTCATTATTATCCAAAGGTCAAAAACTATAATACTATGTCATTTTCCAAGATGCAACGGTGAGTAATATCGATTTGTATAGGAAGACAGTTTCGTCCTTTTGAATTATCAGATCGTGTGTATAATTTTATTACAAAAGCACAGAAACTACGTCGTGTTGGAGAGAATATTTATAAAAACATAAAGATGAGAGGAATACTTACTGAGAGGGTTACATCGCTAGCAGACGATCGACCAGATGTATCACGCGCATAGCAACCCAGCATCAGTACCACCCCTTGCAACCCCCAACTCCCACCCTTAGAGGGCTTCAATGCGTAAATATTAAATAGAAATATATATTTTTACAAATCATTGTTTAATACTTCGTTGCTTCTGAACTCAAGTCACTAAAATCAATGATGAAAAATAGGGGATTCTGAATTTAGTTTTGAAACTTCATTTGAAATTAAAACCCTTCTTTAGACGCGCGGTGCACAGTAAAATAGAAAAACTTCGACCCCAAGGAGTTTTCTCGTGAAATAATCTATAATGGGAAGTAAATGTTTAGTTTGCTACTCAATCTGTCATTTTATCGTTAGTAAAATTGACTACAAGTTGGATTCGTGCACTTCTTATCCATCACCTAACCCTAATCTATTCGTCAGCAATAAATATTTTGTTTCTAAATTATTTGTTGTGGGAACACCTAGATCAGAAATATTTCATCGTATATACTTGTGAGAACAATATATATATATTTTTTTACTCGCAGCAATATCACTGTAAGTAGGATAACCTTTCTATTCTGTGCTCTCTGGATATAACCATTGACTATACGATATAACGCATGTATTCAGACTTGCATAAGACTTCAAAAATACCCCCACGGCAGCAAACTTGCAGAGTAACTTGTTAGAAGGTCGGCTCTAAATCAGCTGGAACATTAACAATGTAATCCACCTTTAAATAATTTAAAAATAGTACCTGTGGACCGAGCTTTGCTCGGGGTAAATTACTAGTATCCTGAGAGAGCAGTCTTTGGCAAATGTCATTTAACAAGATATTTTTTGCAGTCTATTTGCAATATGTTTAAATAGTAATATCGTAGTTGACTTTGTTTATGTAAGCAGCAGTTATGCTTCTTATATATTATAGCCAATACATTCTTTTGTTATTTTTGTAAATAACACATCCATTAATCTAAATCTTTAAAACATGTAATATACTGTACTATAAATATGATAAGCACAATAATATTTAACTATTCATAATAAAGGTCGTAAATGTAATGCATTTTTCTAGTCGTAAGGGCTTAGTAAGTATAAAAGGTAAATATAAAGGTAGGTAGGTAGGTATAAAGGTATATCATTGTCTGAATGCGACACCTCTGTATCTCGATTTTTATCCTTTCCTTTTTAATTTCGAGACCATGCGGTTCAGTGGTTATCGTGCTGATTATCGTATCCAAAATTGTTAAACTACCCTATAAATAAATGGTGTTTTCATTTGGGACATCAAAACGAAAAAGTAAGTTCGTCCTGTGTCCATGTCTTACCATAAGACCTACGGCAAATCAGTAATAGCTTATTCCCTATATGGGGAGAATTATATAAAAATGAAAAAACCTAGATATACCTCTGATCAGCTCACACATACTAAAAGACATATTATCAGAGATACTAAGAGACACGTTAAAAAGTAATTTAGGATCTGAGTTCTTGGTCTTGTTAGAGCCGATCAAGCTACTGGGAATAATAATACAGTAAGTAGTGTTCGAATAACCATGTAGATAATAGATATTGTGTAAGGAATTAGCTAGAATAACTTTTATCATTTGATAACTTAAAAACTGTGTCAGCAATCTTTGCCGTCTTGTATAACTTGACGAAGTCCTGTGTAACAATGATATATTTAATGGCTATTAGCAGCTAAGGAGAATTTCTAACAACTTTATTTAGAGATCCTAACGTCCTCCCTTTCATACACTTGTCCTAGTTAATTGTTCGATCATCTAATTAACATAGAGTACATATAAAACACTATAATTTGGTCGTCGTTTAACACTTAACAGCGCATGATTTATAACGTCTTATAAGCCAATCTTCGGTCTCCGATAGAGACACAAATCTCGGCTTTTCAAATAATAATAGTTTTGTTTCGGATATTTCTGATGAAACAAATGCAGATAATTTAGGGTAGTCTTCATCCAGCTCTCTAATAATCACTGTGAGAGCCAACGCATACAGAAGCTATTTAACTAACTAAAACGACTATAAATCGAGACAAATTATATTATTTTTCTGAATGGGTAGCTTAAATATCTTAAATTCGAAGTCAGATTTGTTCATTAACCTTTATTATTATTAAAAACCTTTAAATTATTTAAAAACATTAAGGTTTTAGAAGGAACCGATTTCAGCGCCATCCCTCGGCGACTTGACGAACTGTAAGTGCTAGCGCTAGCGCAACTAGTAGTGACTTGGCGAACTGAGACTAGACAACTGGCAGCACCAAGTAAATATCCAGTCGTATTGAGTCATATTTGACGTATATTTACTGCTAATGAGACTCTTTTAAGTACAGGATACCGAAACGCGTAATCCTGTTGGATGATCAATCAAGGACCACTATAGGCAGTCTTCAGTCATTGCCACCTTCTTATTTTGATATGTGTATTTATTATTACAGTTCATTTACATTGAATTTTATTTGTTATTTGTTATTTTTTATTTAATTTTTTATATTTATTTTTTATTTATTCATCTATTCATTTCATATCATTCATTTTTTTAGAATTCATTCATACATAATTCATAATAAATTATTTATTATATATTTATTAATTTATATGTGCCATTGTGTCCGTTAGCATGATGACTCGAACAAAATTATCCGATTTTGATTAAATTCGTTACAAACGTGTTACCCTATACGTTTATTCGGACGAATTCACGAACCCCCATGATAAAATTTTCGAGTGAAATGAGCTTTTCTTTTTTTTACCCAAAAAATATAGAATTTATAGATTTTTTTCCTAAACCATTTTGTGTATAAAAATCAATAATTTGGTATATTGAAGCGTTTGTTGTATGCTTAACGACTCAGCGAACACAGAATAAAAATTTAACGACTACAGAGAACGACTATGCACGACTATGTAACGACTACGGAGAAAATTCCAATAAAATGCAAATTAAAAAATCCCACGTTATTTTTATGGAGAATAAATACACTGTTTGCTTATTTATGATAGAAATTTAGTATTTTTTTTATTTCAAACTAAGCTATCAACCTTTTGATCAAAATCACACCTGATTACCGCCCCTGTAGCAGCAAACCTAAGTACCCCTATAGATTAATGCTATTAAAAAAAACTAATTTGAAAAATTTTATCAAAATCTATCCCTAAACGAGGTAGTTTATTTATTCTCCATAAGGATAACATTTAAGTTTTATTTTTCTTAAGGAATTCTTTAAGGAAATTTGTTTTTATTTTTCAGTAACCATGTGTTTTAAATCAAATCTTTATACAGGGTGTTTCAGAATTCGTGTAGGATATTTTAGGGTATTGTTCCTGGGTAAGAAACACATCCAAATATCATATTTAAATTGACCGGAAGTCCTTAGTTACTTACACAGCCGCCATTTTGTTTTTTTCGCTTATTAATTTTTTTCTAAAAAGTGGTAAGAGATACGAAATTGAAACATTGCAAAAACATTTATGACAACGAGACAAAGCTACACAAAAATTATGAACATTTTTACAATTCATAAAACAAAATGGCGGCCATTTAAAATTTTGTTTCTTAAATAACTCTAAAACCGTTGAGTTTACAAAAAATTGACAAGAATAACTTTTTTAGGAAAATTTAATTAAAAATCGATTGACACCTTAAACTTTAAGATCGGATGAATATTAACTGATATATGGCGGCTTTAGTAATACGTGACCGCTGGAGGTTAGATGTAGTGCATGCCGAACACAGATAATATATCTGTGATGCCGAGGCATAGTCTGCCACAACAATGCAACAGTCTCCGTCAACTTTGCAAGTTATTTTTAAACGATTTTAGATTATTTCAAACAATAATAAAATATTACCTACATAGCCCCAAAAGTGTTTTTTATCAATGATCAATCATTAGTATGGCTTACAAATTGCAAACCTTTTTTTGTCTTTAAAGTTCACACCAAACGCCCAAACCTTTTAAATCAGCTGTGTTGAAAGTTAACGTACTTGCTTACAAAAAAAATCTGCGGATTGTATCGTTGTCTGAATATGTTATTGTTTATTCAATGTAGTCAGTTCCTCTAACCTTTTACAGTAAGAGTACACTTTAAAAGTGAATGTACTTAATATTACTAAGTATTACTTAATACGAATTACTTAATACATTTCATAAATTATTACATTACATTTAATACATTTTAATATTAATAATTTCAGTCCAAATTACTAAAATAAACACAGCTTCTTTATTTATGAACCGATTTTATTCATTTTTGTTTTGTTGGATTTGTCATAATAAATACTAAACCTTTTGTGTCTTACAAAATTTTGATTTAGGTACCGGTTTTCATGAAATTTGGCATTAAAAAATTCAAACGGCCGCCATTTTTAAATTTGGAAAGTTAAAATAATAATTTTTTTATAAATGTTACTTACTATAGTGTAAACAATTTTGCCAAATTTCGTAAAAATATCTCAAAGGAATTTTGAAATAATAAATATTTTCCCCAAAAAACAAAATGGCGGATTACGGCTAAACTAAGCCGAAATCCAAAAAAATTTATTCTTCATTTTTGACTTATTTTTGCATGTAGAATTAGGTCCTGTATAGCCCATCACACTTTTTTGTGACACCCTGTATATATTATTTTTGGCTCTGCAAAATACCTTAGAAATAAATTGCAACATTTTATGTTTTAGGGTTCAAACATGTGAAACATGAAGTTTTACTCTTTAACCCCCCCCCACATAAACCCCAACCCCCATTCCCATTGTCTAAACAATCATCCAACCCAATAAAAAATATGTTCAATTAAGATTACCTGAGTAATGCTGGTCATCGTGTATGACACGTTTATACTAAATATCAACAAAATCGGATCATTTTTGCTAGAGTTGCTTCTGTTTCAATCGCATAACGGCATAAGTTACTGGAATTTTACAATCAACACCTTTTAATTGGTGGTATCACCTTCCGGTCAGATTTTAAAGTCGTGTTTTCCAGTTACACCAGTTCCACTTCCCCAATGAGCTAGAAATACAACTGAAGCTCACTGGGTGAGAGAGAGAGAATTGAGAGTCGTTGCCATTTATGGGGTTATTACTATGGGTTAAGTACATTGTACTATTTGTACTTCGTACATTGACTAGGAGATTAGGATTTGGGATTGTAATAAAACCCATGAGCCAATGAACTGGTCTATTCCCCTAGTTTGTAACCAAAAAATCAAATTTTACAGTGTGTCGATTTTCTAGCTGATTTGATAATATAAATATGAATTTACCAAGTTAATAAGCCAGTCACAGGTACTTTTTTTAAATTCATACATATTCAACAAGCAGGTTCGTTATTTGCAGATTCAACAAATTCGTGTCGTTAAGCCATGAATATAATTAAGGATTAACTTATGTAATTAACCTCTATAATCAATGAGCAGTAGTAAAATTGGGTTTATTACTACTGTATTGGGGCAATTGAGACTATCTATTGTATAAGAATAAGAGATTCATGATTTTGCCGCAATCGCGAGAAAAGATTACGCTTCCGCGACCACGGGCGACGAAGATGATGACTTCAAGCAAGACCGCGGATAATGTACTTATGTTGCCGCGGTACGATGACCAGTTTCCATGACAGCGGGAGACGATGATCATATCTACGCATGGACACAGGATATTCATAAGATTTGGCCGCGATCACGGAAAACGATTACGGTGTTTCCATGACTGACGATGAAAAAAACATCCTTGAGCGTTTTTGGATTTTACCGCAATCACTTTTGTTAATAAAAACGAACAAAAAATGTGGTATGTTAGTGGTGATGTTTTGGTGGGTGGAGGGGGGGGTGGCATCCACAAACTGCGGGGGAGGCGCTGCTCGATGTACTTACGCCACTGCCATACGCTGTATTTTTATCCCGAAAATGGGATTCGTCCTAGACCATGAGCGGAATTAATGCGAGATGGAACTGGATTTATAGCTCTGACCTCTATATTTCCTTTTTAACAGATTTTTATAAAAAAAACCATCCCCAATTGATTGAATAGTTGCAGTATAGTAATATATCAATGTTTAAAGATCTATTTTAACTTGATACGTTAAACAGATCACTCGGAAAGGGTTTTTTTTACGAAATTCATGCGGGTTAAAACGGGATTTATAGCTCAGACCTCTATTTTCTTCTTTTTTACTGGTTTTAGACACAAATCTACCCCCAATTGATTGAATAGTGGCAATGGCAATATTACTTAATCAAGTAACCTCTATTTTAATTTTTAACTACCGTACGTTAAACAGATCACTCAGAAAAGGATCGACAGATCGAAAGCGGGATTTTCTCGGCCCAAAAAGTGGGATTTGTGTAATCTGTCATGTGGATAGTGGATTCACTGGAGTGGAGATTGGAGAACGAAACGATTGGTTGCTATACCAACCCATCTTTCCTTCGGTTCGGTTCGGTCCAGTCCGTCGGTCCGTCATAGTCACAATGTCATAATGAGTACTCACTCACTACACTACACTTACACTACCAACCACTACTACACTACTAGTCAGTAGTCACTACTCGACTCGGTCGTCACCGTCATGAACATGAACGTCAGAATTTGACTTTTGAAGTGGCATTTGCCGATTAATGTTGGTTGCGTTTTTTACAAGTACTTACGGTTTAATAGTTTTGTTTTTAGATTGATTGTCCAAGTTTGTACTTAAAAGTCAAGACTTTTGAAGCAAAATGTCCAGTGAATCAGTTAAATCGGTAAGATGTATTTCCTAGAAACATAACCCTTCCATCTAAGGCGAGAATTAGTCATCTTAATTATTTGAAGATATTAGCCTAGGCTTAAGATAGTTGTTGTTCCGCATTTATTTATTATGTTGTTAGTTAGGTGCGTACGATTAGTGTAAAGTGCAATCTATGTTAAACAGGTTTGAACTCTCTTCAGGTCTATTTACACCATGAAGGTATGCTAACTTAGGCTTCATCAGTTCTGTTAAAATGTAATAATTTTTTATCCAACCATTTCAGCTGACTAAAAAAACTATTGCTTTGGCCTAGGCTATTAGGGGTATTTAAGAGACTCATACTGTAATTTAAGTACTAAAAGTTGGCTCATTTCTGGATTTTCTCCTTGTCCTAACCTAGGTAGGGTAGGACTAACTTAGCCCTTCTGAAGTTATTTATTAGAATCACCCTTCACCTGATGCTCCCATAACCTCTTTAAATGTTCAACTGTATGACTTTATTTGAAATTTTTATAAAGTTTAGACCTAGGCTACCTTAGTTATTTTTGCATAACTTACACTGATCTACTAGGGTCCTTTGAAGCAGACACACACCCGCATGCTTGTCACAATAAAATCCAATGCAACTAAGTTATTCTAGCCTTTCTAACAGGGCCATATTTTCCTAAGGGTGGTTGCCAGGGGCCTCACTTAGGGCTTTGAAGATAACTTTTTCCTCTTGAAAAATACATTTCACTGATAAGTTAATCTGTTTGATTCAAGAGTTTCAAGCTTTTACTCTCACGATCTCTGAAAGCGTGTGCGATAAAAAATCACGACTTCACTCCGATCGCTGGGGATGATCAAACATCACAGGATGCTCACGAGCTCACGATTTTGTCATCGCTGAGAATTATTTTGATTTGTGTTCATAACCATAACGATTGATATTTAATAATCCATACCTTGTAAAGAAACCCAATTTTGACCCGTAATCCTAAGGTCAAAAATTTAACCAGATCCAAAGTAGGATCTAGAACTTAAACAAGTTTGGCATGCAGACCTCTAATATTAGGCCTATTATTAAAAAATCAAATGGATCATCACTATTTATGAGCTAGCCTCCTAGGTTTATCCGGCAATTGGAGCTCTGAAAACAATGGATCCAGTTCATAAAGTTGAACCAATAGGCCTATCATGTGTATTTATAAACCCTTTAAGCTCCAGCAATTGAAGATAATCAGAATAGAGGAGGCTCTCTAAGTGTGAGCCGCTAGGGGCCTTATAGATCCAAAATACAACCCTGCTTTCCAAGCTAACAATCCAACAATAGTTCACTCAAAACACACAAGTTAAAAATTTGGATAAAGTACAAGTACCGTAGGCCTAATGTCAGTCAACGCTTAGTAACTATTCTCTAAAACTCAAAGCAAACTAAGACTAAATTTAACTTCATTATTGATAAATTATTGAATTACTCGGTGGAATGCTCTCGACTAAAAATATCTTCCAAGCAATAACTACCTATATCTGATTGCTGGTACTATACTAGAGCTACCAAGTGCTGGAACCACAAACATTAATGAGTTAAGATTAATGTGGTGGCTGTTAATTAGTTAAGATACGATCATAAAATGAAAAACTATGCTAATTAAAACAAACTACCACAATTAATTAACCTGCTGTCAGCCAGGCTTATATTTTTAGGCCATTCAGAGTTAACTACTATCCTACTGGCCTGCACAGTAATTTACGCATACTGAATCCCTGGGCTTGTTGGGCCTCAGAACTATCAGTAAAATATATTTTATACGCTATGGAGCTTGCCCAAAAGCGTTAAGAAACTACTTCAATGTTATTCCTGAATCCTGAAGCTTGCCAAACCTAGCTTTTTAGTCAGGATTAGACCAGCTCTGTTACAATTCTTGTAGGCCTACCATGTTACTGACCACTAGCGGGACTCTATCCAACTTAAACAATGTTTTGACTTTGACACACTCATTACTGTACTCACTACTTGTACACGCACACACTTCTCACTGACACACCTAGCAGCTCCTGGATACCTGACGCTTATCATGGCTGATAAGCCGGGTCAAAGGACTTTAACTCGCTCTTTACCCCTGGAAAAACAGCTTTTTACAATTGCCTTTTATGTAACTTATGTATGGTGTCTTAATAAAAACCTTGCTTACAGTTTTCAAGTTTGGAAACTCCAGGCTATGTTGGTTTTGCTAATCTACCCAACCAAGTTCATCGAAAGTCAGTGAAGAAAGGCTTTGAATTCACTCTGATGGTGGTTGGTGAATCTGGTCTTGGAAAATCTACTTTAGTCAACAGCCTGTTTCTTACTGATTTGTATCCTGAACGAATTGTGCCTGATGCTATTGGTAAGCCTGGAGCATTGCTTCTATACTTTATGTCTCTTTATAGTACTATAATAACAAAAAAATACTAGGCCTATGACTTTTTATGTTGAATTTTAAAGGGTTTTGTTAACACATTTTTACTGCATGAAAGTATGTTGGCCTTTATCAACTATGGTCTCAGTTTAAAATCTAATCTATCTACTTATACCCTTAATAACAAGATCTTCTTCACAATGAAGGGATTCAACTTCTGAAATTTGCTTTCCTATTGGGTCTTGAGATAGCACTTGCTTCAATATGAAGGTTGACTTTATGACAAAGAGTATCACCTAGAGATTGCTTATAAGTTCCAATTCTGTTTTAAAAGAGGATTGAAGTTATTTTCCATCACTGATTTGTAAAACAGTAAATTCATAACGTTTCAGGATTTGGAATCAGACCAAGTCTTCAGGTGGGAAGTAACTAAATAAGGGAGAGATATGCTGCTACATAAAACTTATGGACACTCTTGTAACGTATATTTACACTTATCCTGTTAATTCACAAGACGGTAAATATTAAATACATAGAAAAGATGGTAAGTGGTGATTGATTTTGATTGGACATTCTAATCACCAACAGACCGATAGGTGAATGACAAGAATCTCGGTGGTGTTCCTACTTAAATCCTATTGGCTACCGGATAGTAGTGAAGTATAGGAGTAGGGACACCTTTGAGGTTCTTGCCATTCACCCATTGGGTCTGATGATTGGAGTGTCCAATCAAAATTGATCACCACTTATAATCTTTTATATGTATTTACCGTCTTGTGAGTAAACAGTATAAGAATTACAAATATATTATGTTTCAAGAGTGTTACTAGACATTTTTTTTACCCTCCACAAATTTAATAACAGGTACAATGCTAATCAACAAGTTATTTATGTTACTAATCAAAAATAGGAAATATTCACAATAATCCTTTAGCACAATCTCACTAGCAATGAACTTGTAAATGAAGATGTTTCAACTGTATATACAACAATGAAGCCTTAATTTTTTGTTCAATATAAAACCGTGTAAAAACAGATTTTTTAATCATAAGCAACAACACTCATGATCCATCTTAAAAAAACCTTTTTATGTTTAGAGAAAACCAACCAAACTGTGAAACTGGATGCCTCTACTGTTGAGATCGAGGAGAGGGGCGTAAAACTGCGTTTGACTGTGGTGGATACCCCAGGTTACGGAGATGCCATCGACAACACTGATAGGTTAGTCACTTTGTTTAGATTTTTATGGACAAAAATTCGGTCGGACTAAATTTGTTCGGCGCGGAACGTGGAGCACAGAGTGCATAGAAGCGATTTTAATGGCTCTCTGCTACGTTTTTAGGAAAACAGTAGTACCATTAAATTAGGTACCTAAGACCAGAGGAAAGCGTACTCTGCACTCTGTGATCCATTGCCGCATCTAGGAAAACCCAGCTTCAGTTTTCAAACATTTTAACTTGTTTGTCTAAACTAGGAGATCCAAACCTTGCCTTGCTCTACTCTAATGTCAACCTCTTGTTAGAACTGATAATTAATTTGGCTAGTTCCCAATATCAAATGGTAACTGGATTCATAAACAATCGGTTACACAATCGAACCAGCAACCATTAGATTTGAAGGCAAGCACTATAATACCTACCTGGCTACCCTGTCAATAAGATTTCATTTTCTTTTGTTGTGAGTAATTTTAAGTTTGATATTTTATTAGTAATGGAAATGTTATCAAATAAATACCATATTGTGATAATAACTTCTTCAATATGAATTCTGTAATATTGTTAGAAGTTAAAGCTTTTTGATAGTAGATTTTTAAAGTTCTTTCTTAGTATTATTACGGAAATTATACCTATCAAATCATATGATCAAACAAATCATTGTCTTTTACTGTATAAAATTTGTGTTCAACTGGGGGAAATATTGCTATCTTTTGGACTCCATACGTTTCTCATGCGTTCAAACAGTCATTGTTTAAACTATGTTTAGTTTGATAACAGAAGATAATTTTAAGATAACAATATTGTTTTAATTTACTATGGTTATGCTTCTTTTGAAACCAGTATTAGGGAGGTTGGTTTACAATTACATTCTAAAAAAGAAATTGATTTTGAATTGTATATTGGTTGCCCTTGAAGATAATTTTCTGAGTCTTAGGGGTGATCAGTTTTTTACTGGTTTTCTGGAGATAAAATGTTACAACAAAAAATTCTAGAACAAAAACTAACCATCTTTGCAATCTTGCCATAAAATCATAATAGTGTAGCATTGGCTGTGTCTGGCAGATTGGCAAATAGCAGTAACTGAGTCAATGAACAAGTTATTGAATCTCTTGTTTATAATATGTGTTAAGGGAACAAATCAATACCTTTTGAGATATGTAGTTGAGTCTAAAAAGGGTAAATATGTTTGAATGAGCTTTTGTCAATCAATAAGAATAACTTAACTATAATAAGTTAATAATAATACAGCCTGAAGATGAAAACATAGTTTTTGAAAGCACTTGTAGAATTAAAACTTATATATTGGCCTTTTTGAACCTTAGAATTCATTATTACATTACATTTATTTGCCAATATCTCCAACATAAGTAATCAATAAGAATAAGAATAGGCCTAAATAATATTAGGCCTGTCGGCATGACAACACAAGCCTAAATAGAATTTTGAAAGAGACTCATGGCAAAAGCAATAAATCTAATTTGCCGATAATAACTGTACTTAACTATATATAGTTATTCTGAAACCACTGTAAAATCAATAACACCCTCCCTGGTCGCGGCGAGATTGAGAAAACCTTTCTTTGGTCACAGTAAAATCGAGCACATCTGCGGTCACATTTAAATCACGAACCTCTACAAAGCTTACGGCGAAAACGTGAACATCATCTGCGGTCACGGCAACCAATGTCTCACACAATGGCTTCAAAATCATGAAACTTGAAGAGCGTGTCCCCTCTTAAATACTAGGGTTGCTTTCAGAGAGGTGAAAGCCAGTTGAGCGGAACAAACGTGATTTGATATTTGTATAAGTAACTAAATGGGAAAAAGTCAATAGATGTACTAATGCTGGTTTTATTGATTAAAATTATAATAAGTCAGATATGTTTTTAATACATCTTGTTATTCAGATACCTCTTCCAAAGGTGCATTATGGTAGTTTTGACCAGGAAAATATTACAGTAGTTGGAATCTGGTATTAACATCCAAAAAGGGCATTAAAGTATAAAAAAGAGAAAAAATATAACATTCAAATTCAACTGTAGCCTACAACAAAAACATCGGACTTCATTTTTCACCCTTACAACCGGTTAAAGTAGGCTATATTAAAAAAACTGTAACTTAAAAAAAACGAGTATTAAAAGTATTACAACAGGAGGGGAAATTTGACATTTAAATTCAAGTGTGCAACATAAACATTGGTTTTCATTTCAACCCCTGCAATCGGTTAAACTCGGCTTCCTTTGCTAGAAATAATTTATGATTGTTAATACCAAGTATTCTTGATGGAGGATATGATTGTAATGTAACTGGAATGTAGGTCTTCTACCATTATTAGGACGATTTAGAGACGGCATTTTAATACTGTCCTTAATAATACCATTGGCCATTGGAGACAGAAGATTTTGATGAAAAAGATGGTTACAAATTTAACATGGGGATGGAATGTCTAGTTGTATTAATAGTCAAAGATAAAACATAGGCCTACGAAATATGTAGGGCTATTTTAATGTAAGACTCAAATGTAAAACACCTTTAAAAGACTAAAATGAACTGAATTATCAATCATGCTTTTCAATGTGTAAAAACTGCAAATAAGTACAGCTGAGGTATTTTTAACATTAGGTATATGGAAAGTTCCCTTTAGAAAGGAATTACGACCTTAAAGGGCAATTTATGAAATAATGAATAATTTTGCGCAAGGTTTCTCGTCATGACGAACATTTATGTATATGGTTTATGGGGGTGTGACATGTAGTTTTCACAAAAGATCATGGATACTTTTGGCTTTAGATACAACTTTTCACATTTCATAAATTATATGTTAGTTTTGCTATGGTCAAAGGTCCAAATCCAAATGTTCTTTTCATTTGGTTTTTATGTAGTAATTTGCTAGAATCATTGACTTTATATAAAGTCAATGCTAGAATACAGTAGATGGTTTGTTAAGACCATATGCAAACATTTTTGAAATCGTTTCACCGTTTAACCAACTATTCCAAAAGATTAAAATTATATGGTACAACACAAATTTACAACTCGATCACCTACCTACAACCTACACTTTACCTCCCTAATCTAACCTTACTTCAAAACACAATGTAGTCACGAATACTCATAAACCCCGACCTACCTTCCCCACATGCCTATAAATTAGATCAGTGCTCAATTTTCCTTTTTACTACCGAAGTGTAATAACTTACTGCACCGTCGATGTAATTCAACATAATATAACCTGTGATGTATTATCGGATTAAATATCGATTTCGATGCGGTTCGATATATCGCTTATTAAATCCTGATTTCTAACATTGGCTGTTTCTAATCAGCTGGCAACACAAATAGGTTCCCAAGAAAGTAGTCACTGGTCCGTATCCCTCCGCTCCTTGTTTATGCTCCGCGCATTGAGGAAGTAGTTCCGTATATTTTCTCGATTTTCAGTGAATTCCGTGCCTTAAAAAAATGTTTTAACGGCATTTTATTGTTTATTAAAATCATAGGAATGGTTTAAAAACGTTTAAAAGAAAAGTCTAGAAAGTTTAGAAATACCTTATGATTCTCTTGTTTACATTTTTCTTGTAAACAAAAAACTGTCATATGGCTACTTTAGTCCCATAAGCCTAATGTTAAAATTTGGAAATTTTAAGTTCGTTTTAAATTGCATTAGCATTATCTAATTGAAATTTGTTTGTTTATTAACCATCTCACTATTAGTCTAAGTAATCTTGTTAAGTTTAGCTGAAATGTGTTCTGCCGTTATTGAGTGATGTTGCTTTATTTGTTGCATTGAAGTTGATCCCAAAGAGCTACGCTCGCTTCGCTCGCTCCGCTCAATAAATACTTCTAGATGCTCATCCCTAGAACGGATATTGAGCTGAGCATGAGGAACTGAAAACTTTCCACTTCAGAGCTGCTCGTATGGCCGGCTTAATGTGGATATATCCGTAATACAGAGGTCGGGAGCGTGTGAATTAATTTAATTGAATCTGTTATATAGAGGTTATGTAAGGGTTCCCTGCTATGGGTACCTATTCGTTATACAGGAGTAAGTAAATTGCCAACGAAATGACTAAATATTTGTTGTATTGAGGGTTTTATACATTTTTTTTTTTTTTGCTAAATAGAGGCACATTTTCTATTAAATGATATGGCGCTTGCACGGGATCGCAAAATAATACATTACATAGATAATTTGTTACATTGAGGCTCGTTACAGCGAGGTTCTACTGTACCTCCACTGTTCATATTACCAAGTCATATTACTGTTTGTTTACTACATTTTATTGTGTCTTTAGTAATTTCATAATTTGTGTTGATATCATTGTAGGCTACTATTCTTGTATGCACAAGTATATACTTCAAATGGTTTGTACTAAATTCAACGCTCTTTTGAACAGTGTTTATTTTGTATGTTTTTTACCCATACATCCACTAAACCAACAGTTTTTGTAGTCCCAACACTACCAACTACTAAATAATTAATTAAATTCAACAAGTTAAAAAAACATCAAGTTAATTAGTTTGTTACAATATTAAATTTGTTTCATTATGTTGCAGTTTTCGTGCCATAATCCAGTACATCGATGATCAGTTTGAACGATTTCTCCGTGACGAAAGTGGCCTCAACAGACGCAATAAAGTTGACAATAGAATACATTGCTGCTTCTACTTCATTTCGCCATTTGGACATGGGTAAGTCTTAAAATGATAATCTGTGATGTTTTCATCATTAAATTATTGTGTATTTGCCTTAAACAATATTTAAAATGCTTAAATTAATTTGGAAACAGATGTGTTATCATTGTAGACATACAAAAGGAAATTAAAATGTACATTTGAGTCCAGCTAATCTGTACTGAATAGAACGGAATGCTTTTTAGGTCAGCTGATTGTTTGAATTAGCCGAAATAATTTAAATTCAGTAGAACTTCAATTAACCCGGATATTAGGGGGTTAGGTGGGGGAGACCACGTATGATGAAAACCATAGTTATCGGACATGGTATGAAAATATATAAACTTAGCAAACCCTTAAAAACAAAGTAAGGTGTAAATAGACCTTAATGTTCTCATTTTGAATGTTGACACAGCAAAAATTTTTTAAATATGCAATCATTAATATAACATAATTATGGCTTTTAACCCTCCGAGTGTCACGCGTCATAAAAATGACGCACAACACACTTTGTGTAGGGTCACGCGTCACTTTTATGACGCACAAACATCGTTTACGGCGAAGGCTCTATGACTGACTGAATCGGATTGAACTGGATCGAGTTAGGTATCGTTCTTTCCGTAATATTCTAAGCTTTCTCCAGAGGTCTGTCTCTAAGCGCTATTCATTTTAGTTCCGAAAATATTGTAGCAGACAGCTGACGTGCGTGTATTTGTAAACAGCTAGGTTCCCCCGGACCGATGACTGATGTGTTTTATTACGTTTATCATTGTTTTAGTGTTAAAAATCAAAAGTAGTGATATACGTGGTGCATTATAAGAAGATTTAAGTGGTTTTGAAGTGCTGGTTGATGATCCTGAAGAAGTAGGTAGTGATATTGATGTAAATTATCAGCCAGATTCCTAGCTATGGTTAGGCTATGCATTCTTAGCTAAACGCTATGTACTGAAATCCGTTTTTCGCTCATAACTTATTTATTTGATAACTTACCTCGCTATATGATTATATATTTGTAATCCTCATTAAATTTAGAACAAAGTGGCTATTTTCAAATATTTATAGTCCTATAATTTATACAATTTCATTGAGCGCGAACTTATTTTTTTTTTGAAAATTTTTGAAATTATATTTTTTTTTTACCTAAAAATTTTTTTTTTTGAAAAAATGTTCCTTATGTTTTATATATAATATTGAAGCCCATGATTTTCCAAACAAAATGGTATATAGAACATTAGAATTAACATTGTTTTAAGCTTCTCAGATCCGTTTTAATAAAACCTTGCAAAGGGGCCAAAAATAGGTGGACATTAAGGCCTAAACTATGGACACTCGGAGGGTTAAGCCATTAACTTTGGTTCAGAAATACAAACTGTAACGTTTAAAATTACAGCTTACTCAAACTTAACAAGAAATTAGCCAAAAACTGTACAGCAATGATTCAAGTAAAGAACAAAACCGCTCTTGTAAGCTCCTGCTAAGGATAAACTACCGTAACGTCCTGTTTCAAAACAGAGGCATGGGGATAATTATCTGCTAGCATTGATTTTACCATGGTTGAAAACATATCATTTTGAAAACCATAAAATTATCAGATAACTCCTAAAATCTCTAAAATCTTAACATTGATTAGCTCTAATCTTATTTAAAGGTAATAACAACACTCATAAAAATAAGATTGAGATAAAAAGGACATATAGAAGGTTATTCTTTATCTTTGTTGTTCTTTTTTTCTATGTGTTCAACAAGTTGCCATGGTCACTTATCACCCAATCATCTGAGCTACTAAGCATTCTGTATTCTAGGATTAGGAAATACAGTTAGGCCTAAAAATTTTTTCTCGGTATTAATTTTGTAGAATATATTTTTGTATTACTGTAGTGCAAATTATTTACAAAACATTTCTGGCACTTGTTCGGATAAATAGGACGTTTGGAATACTCATGTTCGGTCTAGCGGCTCTTACGTGTGGACACTATGTTGATCCAATAAGGGATGTAAACCAAGGGAAAGAATTTGGTAGCAATTATATCGTATCCGGATGAAGTAGCTCTAACTTGGATTTGAGAGTTAGGTATGGACGTAAAATAACAAGACCCAAGACCAATAAATATATGAAAATCATATTATTTTTTTTATATTATACTGCAAAGAATTGGCACATGCCATTTTGCTACTGATAATAACATTTGGTTGGTAACTTGTATCACACTCATAACATATATACAGGGTGTCCCGGAACTCTCTACCAATATTTTAGGGCATTGTTCCTGGGTAGTTAACATACCTAAATATCATATTTAAATTGTCCGGAAGTCCTTAGTTACTCACACAGCCGCCATTTTGTTTTTTAAGTTATTAATTTTTTTTTCTAAGGAATGGTTAAACATACGAAATTGAAACTTTGCACAAACATTTATGACAACTAGACAAAGCTACCAAAAAATTATGACGATTTTTAAAATTCATAAAACAAAATGGCGGCCATTTAAAATTTTGTTTCTTAAATAACTCGAAAACCGTTGATTTTACAAAAACTTTACAAGAATAACTTTTTAAAGGCAATTTTATTACAAATCGATCAACACCTTAATCAACACCTTTGAAGATTGGACAAGTATAACCTGAGATATGGTAGTTTTAGTGATACGTAACCGCTGGAGGTTAGTTGCAGCGCATGCTGAAAGCGGTCACGTATCACTAAAACTACCATATCTCAGTTAATACTTGTCTAATCTTCAACATTAAGGTGTCAATCGATTTGTAATAAAATTGCCTTAAAAAAGTTATTCTTGTAAAATTTTTGTAAAATCAACGGTTTTCAAGTTATTTAAGAAACAAAATTTAAAATGGCCGCCATTTTGTTTTATGAATTTTAAAAATCGTCATAATTTTTTGGTAGCTTTGTCTAGTTGTCATAAATGTTTGTGCAAAGTTTCAATTTTGTATGTTTAACCATTCCTTAGAAAAAAATTAATAACTTAAAAAAAACAAAATGGCGGCTGTGTGAGTAAATAAGGATTTCTGGACAATTTAAATATGCTATTTAGGTATGTTAACTACCCAGGAACACTGCCCTAAAATATTGGTAGAGAGTTCCGGGACACCCTGTATAATATTATTTAGCGTTGGTTTAGCAATATCTAGTCTTGCGTAATTTTCTTCCCTAAAAGCGTAGGCTCAATGTTAAATAATTTACATTATTTACTTGTTGCAGGTTGAAACCATTGGACATTGAGTTCATGAAACAGCTCCACAATAAAGTTAACATAGTTCCTGTGATAGCTAAAGCTGATGTTCTTGTGAAGAAAGAGGTTCTAAGACTCAAGAAAAAGGTAAGATAAAAAGACATTTTTACTAAATTAATTGTAATATCCAATTATCGGTGTAAAATACATTTTTGTTCAGAAAGAAAATAAAAGGTATCAGCAATCTGACATTATGCTTTCTCCGTAGCTTGTCAACAACCTTGAAAGCCCTAATGGGTAAGCAATGGGAGTAGCTTTGATATTTTATTTGGAAAATCAAAAAAGTTGCACCAACTTTTGTACAGTAGTTTTTACATGTTAAGGGTTGTACCATTTTGTTTAGAAATAACACATTCGCTGTGGTTGGGCGATGGATAGGTGTGTGAAAACTTTTAAATTTAGTTTCATCCAAACGAGAAGCATGCTTCCCAACAGAAGCAGCACTCAACAAAACTGATAGCAGGCCCTCAGTATTGCCAAATGAAACATAGAAACAGGAAATTGAAAATAAGTATAGGCGCAAGCTTCAATATTTTTTTTTCTTGATTGTCCTGGTTGGGTTGACTAGTATATGAAAGTTGTTTTTACCCAACAAAGTTAGTCCATTTTGCCTCAAGCTTCGATGTCCCCATCATTAAAATTTCAGATAAGTTGGTTTTGTACTTTGATTTTACAAACTTCATATGAGAAGGTTTGTTCACACATATGTTGATCCAATGAACTCATTCAGCAAGCAGAGTTATGTTATATCAACCTATCGGCTACAACTTTGCTTGACAAAACCCTCTCTGACGACAAAACTTTGTCGCTTGCAAACTTTTTCGTGTCACAAACAACTAGTTGATAATTTATTGTTTAATTCCAACTGAACAGCCAGCAAGCAACACTAACTTAGAAGCTTTGTGTTGATTTTTAAAAAGTAAAGCACCATCCTAAGTAAGTTACACCAAAACTCGATATGATTGAAGGCAAGTGTTGAGGACTAGGTTGTTTTTTAAAGAGTATACTTTTGATCTGATGGTATTTTGACTTATTGGGATAGTAAAATAGATTGTTTAATAAAATCTCCTTTTTTGTAGGAGTTGTTTATTAGGTCAAAATCCTATAAGATCAAACTCATATATACAGCCTAAGTTTTTACTACCTACTGACTTTACTTTTTGATCACATGGGACTTTTGATCTAATCAGCCAGTGATTATATTATATTTGATCTAATGGCACAAGTATAATTTATTTGGCCTTAAATAAGCATTCGGCTTAATAGAACGGATCCATCCAAATTCTCAACCCCAAATTGTTTTTGATAATTATCTCTCTTCTGTAAATCATGAGCTAATTATTGCCTCTTGAAAGCAAAGTGTTGTTTTCGTGCAGTCTTGAAAGTCATTCCTGCATCTTCAAAAACTTGAATGAGAAGGGGTGGACTGGATTCCGGTCCAATCGTCATTCAACGTGTAAACTACTCCATAACCATCCAATAAGGAATGCTTTGGGAGCATTCAACTTTGTTGTCTGCAAATTAAATTTAATCCTCCAAATATATTGTCAATATAGATGGTTTAGATTCTCTTTTTGTGATTCTTTAGGTCATGGAGGAAATTGAGAAGCACCAAATCAAGATATATCCATTGCCAGATTGTGACAGTGACGAGGATGAAGATTACAAGGATCAGGTTAGTTTTTTTTATTAATTTTGTTATCCAAGTAGTGAAACTGAATTTGTTTTAGTGCGGAAAAATTGCCATTGGTAAATACTATTTACCAATGGCAACTTTTCCGCACTAATACAACTAAAACCAAAAAGAAAATTTTGAAATTGGAGTTCATTTTCCAACTCTTTTTGCACTCGTTAGACATCTGGTGTACGAAATTGTAAAAAAATCTGTATAGGCCCTGATTCTACAATGGAAGTTTTAATTTTGTGATTTTTGAGAAAGATTCAATAGCCTAACTTTTACATATGTTTTCAATGTTATACTGGACTGTAGATAGGGTCAAATATCATTGAAAACTTATTCTATCAATCATCTTTAAAATGACTTATAAAACCCCACTGCTTCTCTGATTTTTTATTTTTAAATTCAAGACATGCATTAAAATAATGTTTGATGAGTTTTATTGAAATTTTTAGAATCCTTGTCAAATTCCTTATCAGAATAAATATTAAGCAATTATTAGGATTAAAACAATTTATGAACGCATGTTTTGTGTTAAAAATTTTCATCAGTTTATTTATTTTTTTTTTTTTTTAAATTAATTATTGTTTATGGTGTTAGTTCCATGGTTAATTTGACTAAATGCTTGAATTAAATACTTTCAGTAGAATCCCCTTTAAAATTATACAGGTAAAGTTACTAAAGTTAGTTAGTAAAGTTTACTAAATGATTGTAAATAATATGGAAGGTGATAGTTTAATATATGAGCCCTTAAATTTTGTAAATAATATGGAAGGTGATAGTTTAATATATGAGCCCTTAAATTTAATATATAAAATGTAGTTTTTTGTTTGAAAAATTGCCCAAAACGTGATTGAACGCGGTTTTTATTAGAAGCTGCAGTTAAAACGAACCAAAAGAATTTTGTCACTTGCTACTGCTGTTCACTTTTGATTGTAATTGTTTTTGCAGCTGCGACAGTTGAAAGAATCGGTGCCATTTGCTGTGTGTGGATCTAACACCCTGCTGGAAGTAAGAGGACGCAAAGTCCGTGGCAGACTCTACCCGTGGGGGGTGGTGGAAGTGGAAAACCCCGAGCACTGTGACTTCATCAAGCTGAGGACAATGCTCATGTCAGTCATTAGATCACCTTTATAAAAAAAGATTTTAATACGTTCCTCAATATGCTTTACCACAGCTATGTATTGCTGTGTTTTACTCCTATTTAAACTTTACACAAAGCCATTTTCAGTCAATAGAAAAGGTATTAGTCACTTATTTGAATGTTATAATGATGCAAATCCCATAAATTTTTGTATACAGGCATAAAATAATGTAGTAATATTTTAAATCGAACCTAAACGTTATGTGACCAGACAGAAAGTGCTTTAGACTGCCAGACCTTAAAATAAAGTAACTGCTTTAAGCCTCAATTAAACTATGCTAAATTATTAGCAGCTAGTGAGTGAGAACTGCTAGTAAATACCGGTTCTCACTTGGTAGTGACTTTGAACTTTTAAAATAATTCTAGCTCTAACCATGGTGCCAGTTTGTAAATTAACGTCGTCTGATTGAGGGTTGTGGATAACATTACAGAGAGAGAGTGAAAAATTGATGATATAAAAAAATTGAGGGATGAAAATGCTAGAATTTCTAGGTTTTTAAATGGTGGTTACAATGTTCTGATTCGTAGTCTACTCTACTAAAATTTCAGTTAATCCCTTTTCTAAAAGGTGAAAACCTATTTTTAGACCTGTCCTGTATAGTGGAGTGGAGAATGTACTTCACAATAACAAAATACACCATCTTAAAAGTTTGAATTGAATTGAATTGATATATTGGATAGCCTTTACTTTAGTTTCTTTTTTAGTTTAGTTTCTTTTCCAGTCAGTTCTTTTAGTTTCTTTTCATGAATTAAATACAATTTATGAACCACATTGAAAGTATTGAAACTCTTTCTTACAAATTCAATATGATAATTCCAATTCAATTTTCTGTCAATATTTTTATCTTGTTTGAATTCTTTCTGAGTCATATTGTTTGTTTTAGTTTTTACATTAATATTTTTTGTAGAACACACATGCAAGATTTGCAAGAAGTTACCCATGAGGTTCACTATGAAAACTACAGATCCGAGCGGTTAGCCAAGGGTGCACCTGTACCAAAACGAACCACGTAAGTAGGCCTATGTCTTTTTAACAAACTTTTTAATTATTATTAATATTAACACGTTCACTGCACATGACGAGTAATCTCGTCACCGCTGGTGCTTTCCATTGGCGCACGACGAGTATACTCCTCAAAACGCCGTTTACAAACTTTTTCCAATGCGAGGTTAGCCACTGCTGTGAGACGTTGTTTATTGTGCCAGTGTTATACTTCAATCTGGTATAAACGTTCAGATCCGACTATTTTATCGGTGGTAGGGATTGTTAATAATTTATTATAGTGTGGGGGTTAGGCTTGGATCTAATTACAGTAGAGTCCCGCAAACTGGGCGTAATGTGGACTGGAAGGATGCCGAGTTTGTGAAATGCCGGGTTATCGGGAACTAGCGTTAAAAACAAGAACAATGCTATTTTTAAGCTTATTAAGTACCTCTTTTATTCATATTTATATTACAAGTTAGTATCAAGTCATCAGATATAGTACAAAAAATCATTTGTACGAGCTGAGAATGATTTGACTTGAGCTGGCTGTGGCTGGCTTGAGTCCATGTTTAACTCGGACTCAAAAAATCACTAATTTTCTGAGTCAGGTGTTGGCCGAGTTATCCAGACTGCCGGGTTACCGAGTGCCGAGTTTGCGGGACTCTACTGTACATGAAATAGAATAACTATAATGAATGTACTGTAGCATTGTGGAAGCAACCTAATTTTTAAATTGCGCTTGACCGCTTTTTTGCGGCATTTTTTTTATGGTGTATCCAGGTACTTCACCCATTATTTTCCCTTCATTTGGTTATTCCATTCACTTAGGGCCGGCTAGCAGTATTGTTTAGTACTGCTACCTGTTGGGTTCTTTGTAAAACTACGTCCACAATGTCTGGGATGTAGTATATGCCTCTTATTTGGATGAAACTAAATTTAAACGTTTCTGCGTACTCTTCCACGCAGAGCATTAGCTGATTGCGCCGCTGGCCATCGCGCAACCACATTGAACGTGTTAATAGGTTTCAATTTAAAGTGGGGATTTACTGGTCCCGAAATTTAGGGAATTAAAGGTTTAGACTAAGCGATTTAGCAATTTATTCCCTATTCAAATAACATTAGATTTAATGAGTACTTAGGTTTGCAGTTACAAGTAATGTTATAAAGTGTGCTTTTTACCAAAATAATAATAGCTTTGTATGAAAACAAGCAAATTACAACAGTTTACTTTTTCTCCATAAGAATAACATGGGAATTTTAAATTTTTAGTTTATGAAATGTTCTCCCTAACCATTTGGTTTACAATAACCATTCAATGTACTAAATTGTTTGTTTAACATTATTTAAAAAGAAATTGAGATATTTGATTTTTTGATGATCAAAAATGGTGAAAATCATTACCGGTACTCCATAAAACTCCCAAATAAACCTTTTCCCATGTTCTGATCATGCTGGTTCGCAAACTCGTTTGAATAAACAAGGGTTTGTATGTACGGTCAATATAATCAAAATCTGATTATTTTTACTCAAGTTATCGTGCTAACAGACATATATTTATAGACTTGATGAAAGGATATTGTTTTTTCCTCTGGGGACATGAAAACAAAAAAGTAAAGGGTCCCGGGTCTAGGTCTTACCATGAGACCTATAAGGGAATGTTGCTGGAAGTCAACGGTCCCGGAAGATCAAATAATTTATACCTGTGCCGCTAGGTCAAAAACTACAATGTTTGCAGTGTCTGTAGATCAAAAGTCCCAGTAAGTCAAATAGTACAGTCCGAGCTAAAAACGTGGTCTATGTTAAAGCAATTGACTTATTGGGAATTTGACCTAATGCAACAGCAGTTTTAATATAACGAAATACGGTAAAATACAAGTTCAGTTTCGCTGAGTCAACAGTGCCGGAAGATCAAAAGCAGTAAAATTGAACGTCGATTCAGTGTAAAGTAGACCTCCTGCAACGCTTACTACACCAACAAAACTCGCTTTTAGTTACTTCGTGTTTTGTCATAATTAGAATAGAGCTAAAATTATCATATTTGGTACATAGCTTACCTATAAATGCTTCTTGCCAACTGTTTGGTCAACACTGTAAATAGGTATAGTTTATGTAATGAAAAGCCTTTCGTTAAAATTTGTGGCATAAAATACCCGCAAGGACGATCTGAAAATTTCTGGTTATTATGTACGTTTGTAAAAGGAGATCCATTTAATTGTAGAACTATTTAATGAGTTATAATGTAGTCTACACATAAACTGTGTAAATCTATTACACAGAAAATAATACCTCGAATAGAATCTATTACCTCGGAAGGGTTGAAACCTGTCCAAACTATCATATATATTATTAAAACGTAAATGGGGTTTTTACACATTCTGAATCAACCAGTCGACGGATTTTCATTATTTTTGTGTTGAAAGAAAGATAATTTTGAGAACTAGGGAATGCCAAAGCCATAATTGTAATTAAGGGTCCTAGTTTTTTTTTAAATTAAGTTTTAATTTTTAACAAGTCTAGCAGCCGATGCTATCCTTCTAAGCTAGCTTTTAGTACATTATAATTTGATTAACATAACAGCTGTAAACATTCAACATTTGTGACACAAATTCAGCATTTGGAAACAAATTTAAAGACATATTTAGAGTTTACATATTTATACTATGTGTAATGCTGACCATTGATACATTCAATTCTTAATTTGACTTGGCTGATGCATGTATATGTTGATCTGGCCTAATAAATGACTTATTTACTTATTATTGACTTATTGACTTAGGTATGAGGATGGCAGATTAATTAAATGTGCATAGTAAAATAGTAGGATGTTCAAATTATTTTTTAAAGGAATCTTTGTAATCATTGATTTGTTTTAGTCTCATATAATTTGTTTTAACTAACAGCTGGTTGAATGTAATATTGTTCTATATAACTATTACGTTTTTGGCGAATTTCCCATATAGGGAATAAGCTATTACCGTAGTACTTATGGTAACACCTGGACCCGGGACCGATTAAATTTTTCGTTTTGAGGTCCCTAGAGGCCAAAAACACCATCCGTTCAAATTCATATATACAGGGTGATCAACTCAAGGAGGCCACCATTGGGAAATCGGAAACGGTATGAATTAGAGAAAACTTTAAATGGGGGACATTCCTTAATTTTTTGTGGCAGTTAAAAATGTGATTTTAGTTTTTTGATCATGTTTTTGGATAGAATATGCAATTTAAAACTTTTTTAGCCTTGACATTTTTTTGATAAACCCACTCGTTTAGGAGTACAGCCTATGGAAAAATGACTTCCGGTGTACATTTTACATCATGTAGCTCCTAAACGAGTAAGTTTAGAGCAAAATTGTAAAAAGTAAATTAGTCTTAGAATTGCATCTACATTCCTTAAAGACTAAAAAACAACAAGTTTTCCACTTTTCAAGTTTGCCGTCATTTTTTTAATAATATAATTCATATTTTTAATGAATTTTATGGTCTTTTTGGAATGTGGATGCAATTGTAAGACTTTTTTACTCTTCGCATTTTTGCTATAAACTTACTTGTTTAGGGAATGTTGCTGGAAGTCAACAGTCCCGGAAGATCAAATAATTTATACCTGTGCCGCTAGGTCAAAAACTACAATGTTTGCAGTGTCTGTAGGTCAAAAGTCCCAGTAAGTCAAATAATACAGTCCGAGCTAAAAACGTGGTCTATGTTAATGGAATTGACTTATTGGGAATTTGACCTAATGCAACAGCAGTTTTAATATAACGAAATACGGTAAAATACAAGTTCAGTTTCGCTGAGTCAACAGTGCCAGAAGATCAAAAGCAATAAAAGTTAACATCGATTCAGTGTAAAGTAGACCTCCTGCAACGCTTACTACACCAACAAAACTCGCTTTTAGTTACTTCGTGTTTTGTCATAATTAGAATAGAGCTAAAATTATCATATTTGGTACATAGCTTATCTATTAATGCTTCTTGCCAACTGCTTGGTCAACACTGTAAATAGGTATAGCCTTTCGTCAAAATTTGTGGCATAAAATACACGCAAGGACGATCTGAAAATTTCTGGTTATTATATAAGTTTGTAAAAGGAGATCCATTTAATTGTAGAACTATTTTATGAGTTATAATGTAGTCTAAATATAAACTGTGTAAATGTATTACGCCTCGGAAGGGTTGAAACCTTTCCAAACTATCATATATATTATTAAAACGTAAATGGGGTTTTTTCACGATTCTGAATAAACCAGTCGATGGATTTTCATTAGTTTTGTGTTGAAAGAAAGACAATTTTGAGAACTAGGAAATTTCAAAGCCATAATTTAAAATTAGTGTCCCAGTTTTTTATAAATTAAGTTTAAGTTTTTAAAAAGTCTAGCAGCCGATGCTAACCTTCTCCAATAGTCAATGCTTCTAGCTAGCTTTTAGTACAACATAATTTGCTTACATAACAGCTGTAACATTCAGCATTTGTGACACAAATTCAGCATTTGGAAGAAAATTCAAATCCATACTTATGGTTGACTTATTTATACTATGTGTAATGCTCACCATTAATACATTTAATTCGTCGGTACGAGGATGGCAGATTAATTAAATATGCATAGTAAAATACAGTAGTAGGATGTTCAAATTATTTTTTAAAGTATTCTTTGTAATCATCGATTTGTTTTAGTCCAATATAATTTGTTTTAACTAACAGCTGGTTGAATGTGCTATGTATACTCATAAAAGGCAAAGCCCTCACTGACACACTCACTCTCACTCACTCATCATCACTAATTCTCCCACTTCCCATTTACCTAGGAGGCTGAAATTCGATACACCGATTCTTTGGGCATTAAATAGGAAAACTGAGTAATTTTTTTTATGATAGGGCATTCGAGCTTCGCCCCAGTGGCTCTGGAGTTTCCCATGTTAACCTTATGATTTTTCATATTTAAAAGAAATTAATGAATCTTAACAGCTGTGTCAATTAAACAATTTATGACAACAGCTAATTTGCAACCAAAAGCTGAGTGAGCGTTTC